ACATAGTGGCTCACAACCATCTGTAATGAGATCTGGCGCCCTCCTCTGGCGTGCGGGCATACAGGGAGGCAGAATGTTGTATATATAATAAATAAATAAATCTTTGAAAAAAACAGTAAAGATATACTGTTTTCTATTATGACATTTGCATGAGATCTTGGTGATAACAAGAAAGGAAAGGTCACTGTTTAATTCTGATGTGTGTCAAGAAGACAAGGGGTCTATAGCTTGCCAACTTGACACAAACTTAGAGTCAGCTGGGAAGAGGGGACCTCAGCTGAGGAACTGCCTGCATCAGATTGGCCTGCGGACACATCTGTGTGACAGTTCTTAATTACTGGTTGATGTGGGAGAGGGCCCCGCCCACTGCAGTGGTGACCTGGGAGTGGTGACCTGGGAGGGCCCCGCCCCCGCCCACTGCAGTGGTGCCCTCCCGGAACTGGGACTGGTAGTCCAGGACTGTATAACGAGAAGGTAGCTGATTCAAAAAACCGGAAAAAAAGAAAAAGTTAAAAAAGCTGGGAAGTGGTGGCATACGCTTTTAATCCCAGCACTCGGGAGGCAGAGGTAGGCGGATCTCTGTGAGTTCGAGGCCAGCCTGGTGTACAAGAGCTAATTCCAGGACAGCTAGGACTGTTACACAGAGAAACCCTATCTTGGAAAAAAAAAAAAAAACAACCAAGCAAGCAGACAAACAAACAAACAAATAAGGTAGCCGAGGAAGGCAGTCAGCAAGCCTGTGTGCTGACTTGCTCTATGCTCTCTGCTTCAGTTTCTGCCCTAATTCTTCGTGGTGATGAATGGTCACCTGGAAATGTAAGATAAACCCCCCCACCCCCAGGTCCCCGTCGGTCAGTGTTTTATCTCAGCAACAGCAACAACGTAGGACAGCCAGCCTGGGGGAGGAGAGGGAAGAAAGAACAAAATTAGGAGAGATCCTCTTATTTAGAGCAGAGGTAGGCTAGAATTTTCCTCTGTGAGAAGTCCCTGGTGAGAGGGTGTGGCTAGGCAGTGCAGGGTATCTCCTTAGAATCATCAGGTAGACATCCCAGACCGGACTAAGGGAAACGGTAGCATTGGGAGGACAAATAGGGACCGGATGCTGACGAGTGAGCGAACATTTAGCACGTGCTCCCCTGGCGAGCCCTGCTGCACGGCTCCCTCTTCTGGTCACCATCTGATGCTCACTTATCCTAGCGTTTGGGGCCCCCCAGTGGGCAAGCGTTCTGCTGTTTCACTGGGTTTGTCGCCGTTTCTAGAATGTGTGTACCAAGCTTTAGAAGTGGAGCCGTCCGCACGACCATAGACTGATCCGTCTCAGTGAAAAGCCTCCCCACTGGTTCATGACGGGCTCTGACTTGGTGACTAGGGCCCCTGCATTCCTGTGCCAGCCCTGCCTGTAAAACCGGATGAGGGAGCCTGGCTTGAGTCAGCCAGCCAGTTACTGTGTCTCCATGGCTGTGTGTAGTGCTGTTCTTGCATTGACTGTTTGTATGAATGTGCAGTTCCAAAATGCTCAAACTGGCCGGGCAGTGGTGGCGCACGCCTTTAATCCCAGAACTTGGGAGTCAGATGCAGGCAGATTTCTGAGTTTGAGGCCAGCCTGGTCTACAGAGTGAGTTCCAGGACAGCCAGGACTGTTACACAGAGAAACCCTGTCTCAAGGGGGGAAAAAAAAAACCCTCAAACTGGACACCCATTTTCCATAGTGTGCCTTTGTCAGTGTTCTGGTTTCTTTCCAAGCCTCTGAGCAGATGGTCTGACTGTTGGCCACCGGCCAGGGCTTTGTGTTTGTCTTCTTGAACAGCACCAGACTCTTAGAACAGACTGGCTTACCTGGCCTCCAATTCCTAGCAATCCTCCTGCCTCAGCTTATTGATTGAGATTACACACGTGAGTAACTAGGTTGGATGAGAAATTTACACTCAGTTCAGGCCACTTTTCCTTATTCTTAAAGTGAAATTATATAGATCATTATTTATTTATTGTACTATCTCCCGCTAGAAAGATTGCTTTCTGTTAGGGCCACTGTCTCAGGGTACCGGATGGCCTCTTGATAGCAGACTAATGTGTACACTAGGCTTCGGCTGTCCATTTCTTCAGCAGGTCATCCAGGTCCCTCTGTAAGGCTGTGCAGGGAGCCACGCCATGAACACTGGCCTATCTGGGGCACTCTCTCATTTTGGCAGGAGGAAGTGCCCACACTGGCACTCTGTGGAAGACAGAGGATGGGCTGACTAGTTTTATGCCAACTTGACACAAGCTAGAGTCATCAGAGAGGCGGGAGCCTCAACTGAGAAAATGTCTAAGATAGGGCTATAGCCAAGCCTGTAGGGCATTTTCTTAATTTGATATGTGTGTGTGTGTGTGTGTGTGTGTGTGTGTGTGTAGCGCTTGCCCATTGCGGGTGGGGCCACCCCTGAGCTGGTTGGTGGTCCTGAGTTCTGAAAGAAAGCAGACTGAGCAAGCCAAGGCAAGCAAGTCAGTGAGCAGCACCCTCCATGACCTCTGCACCAGGTTCCTGACTCCCTTTGATGATCAACAAACCCTTTCCTCCCAAAGTCGCTTAGGTCATGGTGTTTCCTCAGAGCCATAGTAACCCCACCTAGGAGAGAGGACAGCCCGCAGCAGTCAGTTCTCCTGACACGTTGCTCTGGGAGTTTGACCTCGAGTTGTCAGGCTTGGGGAAGCACCTTTACTTGCTGGCCCAGGAACGATCATGATACACCATTTCTGTTTTATGATGCTGCTGGGCACACAGAACTTGGCAGGTGGAGGTTCAGCTGTCTGTCAGTTCTCTCCTCTGTTGAACGTTGTTCTTTCTCATTCCCTGTCACCACTTCCTGGGTACAACTTGCTGTGTCCAGCAGCACCCAATTCTCAGCAATCATTTATGGACAAACCAATGATCTGCATTTGTGGTTAGGGGTTCTGTCTTGTCCAGGAACCTGCTAGCAGTATTTCTCAGAGAGTACATTGCCTGGGTGTGGCGGAGTATACCAAAAAATCTCAGCACATAGGAGGCTCAGGCAGGAGGAGTTCAAAGCCAGCCTGGGCTACACGAGTTTCAGATGCTTCTGGAGGCAGAAGATGGAGGTGAAAATCCATACACAGTGGTGATGTGGAATCCCCCTCTGTATACCATTGGTTAATAAAGAAGCTGCCTTGAACCTATCACAGGGCAGAATAGAGTAAGGCAGGATTTTCAAGCAGAGATGTGGAGTCAGCGAGATGCTATGTAGCCACCAGAGGAGACACTCACCAGAACCTTGTCACGACCTCATGGTGATGCACAGATTAAGAGATGGGTTGAATTAAGATGTGAGAGTTAGCTAGAAATATGCATAAGCTAATAGGCCAAGCAGTGATTTAATTAATATAGTTTTGTGTGATTATTTCGGGTCTGGGCAGCCGGGAAACGAATGAGCAGTCTCACTCAACACAGTGGGGTTGGGGTAGCTGCAGTAAAACGTTGGAAAAAGTTTGTTTCAGCTTGGCCAGTATCTAAAAGCAAGATGGACAGGGCAGCTGAGATGTCGCTATGTAGCCTTGCTGCAGGTAGCAGCACAGCTTGTCCTAGCGTAGGTCACCACCTGCAATGGTCAAGGCACCCCTCCCTCTCAGGTGAGGAACAACCAAATCAGAGCCACTAGTATTGCCTGCAGTTTTAGGTACTGTAAGTCACAGAAATCATGTTAGTACCAAACCAACCTACCAAGTGTTACCCATCTATTCTCATGTGTCATACCTAATACCCCAGTAAGCCATGAAACTGTACGTGCCGTTCTCGTCAACAGTCTGAGAACTGGGAAGAAGGCTCAGCTGGTAAAGCTGCTCACTGTCATGCCTGGTGACCTAAGTCTCATCTTCAGGACCCATATAAGGGGGGGGAGAGAACCAACTCCTGAGGGGAGTCCTCTGACCTCTACCGGTACACCACAGATCCTGTGTACACACACCTCGAGAAAAATAAAAAGTTTGCTGGGTGGTAGTGGCACACCCCTTTAATCCCAGCATCGGGGGCAGAAGGTGCTAGATCTCTGTTCAAGGCCAGCCTGGTCTGCACAGCCAGAACATGTCCTGTTCCAGGACCGCCAGGGCGGTTACATAGAGAAACTATCTTAAACCACAGTCTATGATTTGGGACTGCAGCGGTATTTGGACTGAGGTGAGTAGATGCGGCCTATGTTTGCCACAAAGTATTATGTAACCTCAAGTAGAATACATTTTTCCTAGCTTCGCTGGGAGACTGAGATGTCAGAGCACCGTGACCAACGCTAACTGCAATGCCAACACTAAGTTTTTTAAAAACAAACATTTATTTTTAATTATGTGTATGGGTGTTTGTGTGGACGTGTGCACCGGAAGAGTGCACTGACCCCCCCCCCCCAAGCTGGAATTACAGGAGTTGTGAGCCTCCTGACCTGGGTACAGAGAACTGCCAACTCAGACTCTGTTGAAATGTAGACATTCCTAATCACTAAGCCATCCCTCCAGCACACAGACATTTATTTAAAACAAACAAACAAGGTCTTCAACTCCTTTCCCTTTTTGTAGTTTGTCTCTAGCTGTTTTGCCTGCATGTCTGTCTGTGCACCTGTGGCCCGTTGCCCGTGGAAACCAGAAGAGGGGAATGAGTCCCCTGGAACAGGAGTTACAGATGCTTCTGAGCTGCCACGTGGGTGCTGGGAATTGAACCTGGGTCTTCTGGAAGGGCAGCCAGTGCTCAGGTATTTTTTAAATTTATTTATTTTTTTTTAAAGATTTATTTTATTTATTATGTGTACAGCATTCCTTCCATGTGTGCCTGCAGGCCAGAAGGGGGCGCCGGGTCTCATTATAGATGGCTGCGAGCCACCATGTGGTTGCTGGGAATTGAACTCAGGACCTCTGGAAGAGCAGTCAGTGCTCTTAACCACTGAGCCATTTCTCCAGCCCTATTTTTTAAATTTAAATTACAACAAAAAAGATACTCTATAACCACATTAAAATCTCTAAAGCCATGTAAAACCCGAAGGCATTAAAATTTATTAAATGATGCAGTAACAACAGATTCTTTATTTACAATAGCATTATTTAACATCAAATAAGCAAATAGCATCAGCAAAGCAATAGTAACTTGCATAAATGTATTTAAAATTTCTCTGAATATATCTACCTTTGCATAAACTGCTCACACTAGAAATACAAACATCAATGCAGATGAACAAAGTGATGTTCAGAGCCAACTCTGTTTTGAAAATAAATCACAACCTGAAACACTGTAAGCTTTCTCCTGAAGAACCATAGTTAATATATTGCTTAATTTTACCCTTGTATAATCTTTTCATATACACATATCTCAGATGCAACTTCATGAGGAACTGTACAAATAAAATCCACGAATGACAAAAAAAATGACAGTTAAATGTTTGAAGAAATGGATCATCATCACTGTTCAATAACATAAGGGTAAGTGATGATGCACTTGTTCAAAAATTGTACACAATTCACTATACAAATATAATACATTGGACAGCTATGTAGGAATATACAAGACTTAAAAACAGATCTAAGGCATTATGCTAGGTTTTAGCATTTTGAGGTTCTTGCACATAGCTTTTACCTGTAGTAAGAAACTTAAAAGATTTCGTTTTAGTCTATAAAGAAACACCAGGGAGAAAATTCTAATTAAAATCGAAGCCACTACAGTAATTTTCTTTTGTGCAGAGAGTGCTTTGCTCTTAGGCAGCATACTACCATACAAACACTAGAAAATTTTAAATTCACACCAACAATTAATGGCTTAAGTTGCATTTCAAAATTGATTGTGTATCTTTGGGTTCTGCAAGTGGATCTGTGCCTCCCAGTTCATGTGTCACACCCATATGAACTCCAGTTAAAAACACAGATTAAAAGTTGCATCTTAAACTGCAAAAAACCATTGCTTTCAATTATTACAGGCCGTAAAAGATACACGTGGGGGGGGTGTTTTATTCTTTGAGTCAAAAGAATCTGTTGTAGTAACACAGCTCACTTCACTTTTAAAACTTACCACGGTACATGAACACTTAGATGGGTTCTACAACCGAGTTAAGGTGGGTATGCTTTTCACATTGAGCAGTATAAGAAAAACACTGATTCTATGTCCTGCTAAACCAAAACCAAGTACAAATTTACCGTGAATAGCATGAGGAATACTGATGGAGAAGGGCGCTGATTTGGCATTTGCTTCTGTGAGAACATGATCAGAGGACCCCCTTCACTTACTTCATACTCCTAATGAGATGTAAAAACAATTGTGGGGAGAGAGTTTACCCTCTCTTCACGCCCTGATCACGGTTACTCTGACTGCCCGGTCGGGATTGATATTGGAAAACAGCGGTAGAACGCATGAATATGGAAAGTTCGGTATTGTGGCTGGTGTTATCGGGAAATGGGACTTAAAATTCAAAACAAATCTGCTTTAAACTCCGTTTTCTCTTGTGCCGTGTCAAGCTGAGAGTTATCCTACCTCACGTATTTTTGAACATTGATCTGAGAATGGGTCACCTTTAGCAGTACACCACATGAGCCTCACTCCTGGGGGAGGGCCTAGAGCTCCCGGCCTCCATCTGCTCCCTGGAGCCTTGAGTGGATGCATGAACTGGTGGTCACTGGGAAGTGCTGTCCCTGGCCACCTCCCTGCACTGAGATTCCTCTCAAAGTGGAAAAGGTATCGGAATGCAAATTTCCAGAAAGTTCTTTAGCTTGGAGCAACATTTTCAGACGATTTACCATTTGTCTTTGGGCCATATCTCTTTTCTCTATTTCCACAATCTATAGATATATAGAGACATAAATAGAAATAGGGTAGTTTAAATGTTTTTCACCCTGCCACGAATAAACAGTTAAATTTCAAGGAAAAACTTCTGTTACTAGAAAGCTTGGCTAATGACATATTATAAAATGTTTTGTTTTTAGACATCAAAAAGATACCATTCTGAAATTTAGGTAACAAAGTATGTATATTGGGGCTGCGGAGAATTGAAAAGGTCTTAGTTCTGGGTACTGCAGTTGTTGGAATCTGATACCAGTTAACAAAGGCTATTCCCCGACAGAGTGGGCAAGAAAAACAACCATAAAAGTGCGCTGCTAGTAATGTGTAGTCTTTCTAAGGTTTATTAAGAAAGAATATAAACATATAAAATCAAGACTTGGTTCCTACAGCGGCTGCATATCATATAGATTAGGTACATGATTCATGAGCAGAATCTCAAGGTTTAGAAAACAAAAAGACTTAAGTCTACAAATCAGGTCCAATCAAGGCATTGGCAGCCTTTACAAAACACCGTTAGGAGACATTGCTATGAAGATAAATCTAATTTAATACTGAAGTACCTCATTTTTGAGTCAATCCCACAATATGTATACCTCACAAAATTATACAATTAAAACACTTAAGTTCTGAACTTAAATTATTGCTTGTTTACATATAAACTGGATTTTTATGTACCTTACAAAACTTCGGCTTTGTCAGCACTGCTAAAAAACAAAATAAAAAAACTCATGGCAGAGGTCAGATCTGTCGTGATGTCTGCTGTCGATTTCATCGGCACTCTCTCGTTCGGTGGCCAGAGCGGATGCGGTAGCCCAGGCCTTCCTACGCAGGTGTCGCAGCCTGACTGGTGTCCCTTCTCCACTGTCTTCCTCTCCTTGACAGGAAATGCACTTTTGATGTAAGCTGTTGCTAAGTGGCTAGAAACGCTGACAGGATGCATGGCTAAGCTGGTTTCTGTTGCTGTTGTTTTTATTTAAAAGCCACGAAAGTAGGAGGGATAAGAGAAGGCAGGGAGGGGAGGCAGAGGTCAGGGCCAGAGAGGGGAGGAGATGCCAATTCAAACCAGCTGATCAATCTAAAAACACAATTTAGAAATTAATGTTCTCTTACTCCTGATTTGGGGGACCTAGTTTGGTTTTCAGAAAGAGGAAACCTTGAACAGATTTCCAGGTTTTACGTGAAGAGCGCTCTTTCAGGCGCCTCATCCGTTCAAACACTGGGCGCTCCTTCCTGCAGGCTATGACTCCAGCTCGCTGGGTGTGCTGGTACATACAGCCTTGCTCAGTGCTGCCCTGCTTCCATCCCAAATGCAGGATTTAGCTTAGAACACCTCGTGCTTGACTTTGTTAAAAAATTCCTTTCTTTTCTCTAGACAGGATTGTAATCTTTTGTACTAGACTGATTAGCCAAGGAAAACAAAGCAAGAACCCAGTATGTGGAACTCAACAGGAACAGAACAAGAGCATGGTTCTCCTTAGATACATACATTTAGATACATTCAATCTGAATGGGCATGACGTTTGCCTGTCCACATATTCTTTGCAGGAGAGATCTAAGTTGCACTAAGGTGAATGCAGTGGACAGACTGCGAGATGGTCTGGAGGCGAGCTTCAGGCTGGCAGCAGAGGCAGCGCTTCCAGTGGCAGCCAAGCCAGCACACTCTCTGCTGGGGCCAGCGCCCAACTGTCTGCTGATGTGTCCTGGGGGGAACCGGTGGCAGGTCAGGTGGGTCAGAATAAAGAGATGCAGCTCTGCAGACTGGTCAGTGTTTGGAGCAAATAAGCCCCGTGGGTTGAAGATAGAAGCAGACTGCTACCTGTAGGGTCAGCAGTATTTCTGGAAGGAAATAGACAGAGGCAGTGTGAAGACAGTGGGCTCTTATGTTTGGTTGGTTATTTTTATTGCATCCCTGAGGACCTATCTCAAATTCTCCACCCCCTTACAATAGTTTCCCAAATATGTGTACCACCATCCTGGCAATATCAGTATCAAGTGTGTGTGTGTGTTTCCTTTTTTAAATGAAAACAATGTCCATCACAAAACACAAAAGCTAGTTTATTCTAGATAACATAATCTCGTGTTTCTGATGTGGGAAGGTAAATGGTGCTGTTCTTAACAGAATGCCACATTTACAAACCCAACAGTGCAAAGGTTCTCGCAGGTTGCGGTCAGGGGATGGGCAATCTCTCCTGAATGACTTCTGCTCTCTTATTGAAAACATTCCTCCATCCAGGCATGATGGCACATGCGTGTAATCGCAGCGCTCAGGAGACACAGGCAGAGGAGGAGCAAAGCTAAGGCCTGCCTGGGCTACAATGGTCACACCACCACCCACAGCCCGCACCCACTTCATGCATGTGTGTGTATATGTATGTGCTTGCTTGAGTACACATGTGCTATGGAGGAGGTTGACATCTGGGATCTTTCTCCACCACTCTCTACCTTCAGCTAGACTGCCTGGCCTGTTCCTTCTCTCCTTCCCTGAAGTCCTGGGGTTGCAGGTGTGTGCTACCATATCCAGTTTTTTAGTTGGGAGCTGGGGATTTGAACACAAATCCTCATGCCTGCACAGTGAGCATTTTATCAAATTAGCCCCGGAACTGATAAACTCCGAATGCAACACATGGTCAATATGGAATCTGGCACAGTGTGTGACTTCCTTACCTGGTAAAAGCTTTGAAAACACTGACACAGCGAGCTTTTGTGTACCTAACCATCATGTTGTTTATGTCCTACACACCGTCAGCACCTCTGAAACCCAAAGGTTAGAGTGGGAGAACAAATACACTATCTTACTAACATATGGGCTGGGTTTATTCTAAATCTGATTACTACTACAAAAGCACCCAGGATTAAGGACATTCAACATTCATTTAATCCTACAGTTTCTCCATTGGGATCAAGTTATTTGTCTCTTTTTTTGGGTATTCCAGGGTGGGCTTGAAAGGTTATTTAAAGGTTATTTAAAAACTTTATTATTGTTATATGTGTTTGAATGTGGAGGTCTGAGGATAACTTTGAGAGTTGGTTAACTTCTTCCACTGTGAGTTCTTGGAAACAAATTCAGATATATTTCTGGTCCTTGCTTCATTTTTTGAGACAGGATCTCATTGTAACCTGGCCGGCTTCAAATTCGCTAATGACCCTGAATTCCAGATTTTCCTGTCTCTACCTAAAAGGACAAAATGTTTTTTCAGAGCTGGGCATGGCTGTGTACTCTTTTGATCCCAGCATTTGGAAGGCTGAGACAGGCAGATCTCTGTGAGGTCAACATGGTTTACAAAAGTTTTTATCCCTTAAGTGATGGGGTGTGTCAGGGGAAGGAGAAAAAGGGAGGGAAGGCAGCGGGCACCAGCTTCTTTCTATTTTTTTTTTTTTTTTAATGGTACTGGGGATTCACCACAGGTTCTTATCCATTCAGGCAAGTTCTCTACCTGTGGGGTTGTATCCCTAGCAGCCCCAGCCTTAAGAAAACCAAACAACATAAATAACTGGCATGATGGTACATGCCTGTGATTTTAGGAGAAATCAGGAGTTCAAGGTCCGTTATACAGTGAGTTTAATTAAGACCATCCTGGACTACCTGCCATCCTATATTAGAACAAATGAAAAAAAAAAACAATAACCCCACCTTGCAAAAACCAAACAAAAACTATTTACACAAGCAGTTCTCTATGCCAAATGAAATTATAAGATATCTTCCAGCCATTTCTAAACCACTGACTTATGTCCATTCTGGCCTTCAGATACTCAGCCACACTGGCTGCGCCCCCCCTTGACTCCAGCTGCTTACCCGAGATGCATCTCCCTCCTGCTTGATCATGTCCATTCCAGGCAGTTGGTTTGGGAAAAGGTTGCCTCCCCTCAGAGCAGGGTCATTTACCTGAGGGCGACAACACATGACACATTTCCCATTTTCAGTCTTATGTCCCTGGGGAGAAACGACTCCATCACAATGACTTCAGGGGCCTAGCTGCTCTTCCCTGTGCGCATTTTGGGGGCAGTATGGAGGCTGAAAACACACATGATAGTATGCTATTTGCCTTCAAAAGTAAATTTTATTTGCATATTTTCATGTATATCTTCCCCCTCTCCCTTCCTCTGTGTGTGTGTGTGTGTGTGTGTGTGTTTAAGGCTGGTTCGAATAAGACTGGTAACTCGGCGGTGTGACTGTGAAACCCACTCCTCACACCCTTGCTCCTCAGGCAAGCTATTAATTCGCAAGAGCAAGCTGTGAACACCCAAAACACCGCTGGCTTTCATGAACCAACTCTGGCCAAAGAAGCTACTTGTTGCATCGATCTATTTCTTTAATGTTTTCCTTTTATCACCTCTATTTTGTGTGCCGCAGCGTGCGTGTGGAGGTAGAAGCCGGTTCTCTCTATCACGTGAGTCCTGCGATGGAACTCGGTTGTAAGGCTTGATGGCCAGTGCTTTCAGCCCACCCCACCGTGACAGCCATCCCACCAGGGTTAACAGAGAACGGCTTTGTCAGAAGACACACTGTACTTGTGGTTTTATTTCCTGGCTGATGCATCCGTTTCCAATGGTCTGGGTTACCAAAGGCATCCAGCTGCTCCTGAGGAGGCTGGCCTGTGACTAAGCACTGCCCCCCTCACTCCTGCCACATGCCAGACAGCAAACCAGAAGCCACGCGGGTCCATGTGTGTAGGGTCTGCAACATGAGCGTCACACTGCCTCTCTCTTCCCTTCCTTCCTATGACACGGTCTCATGTAGTCCAGGCCGGCCTTGAACTAATAAAGCGATGGCACGACAGGCACACAAAATAAATACTAAAAACTGACCAGAAACCAACGATGGCACCTGCACTGCGGCAGTGGGGAGGATCAGTGGGGCAGCAGCGCTGCGAGTGACTGGGTCTCTCTGCGTAGCCCTGCAGACCAGGTCGAACTCAGAGATTCTCCTGCCTCAGCTTTTTCAGAGCTGGGAATAAAGGTGTGCGCTACCCCACTTGGCAAAGCTAGCTCTAAAACTTCACAGCGCTCACCATTCCGTGTTTAAATCCCACATCATGAAAAATGTTGATGGTGTGAAAACACAACAAAAACCCCAACCCTTTAGCAGCCAAAAGTCTTTCCTAAGGGTCTGCCATGAAAAAGTATTTTTGCTAAATCTCACTGGCACAGGTGAAAATAAGGTGAAAAAACACTTTTCAAAATAGATGTGGGACTCAAGGGTATAAATAGACAAAAAGTCAAGACTAAAAAATTCTGAGTTGCTTTTCTGTGGCACTTACCTGCTCAGGACCCATGGAGGACAGCCCCGACGTAGGCACGGAGGTCACTGAGGTCATACTGATCTGTCCTGTCATCTGGTTCATGTTGCTCAAGCCACCTGTGTTGGTTGCCATGGACACATTGATGTTCATGTTGTTATTGTACATGCTGGTGTTTGCTTGTTGCCCGAAGTGTGGTGGGGACTGTTGTGAAAACATGCTGGAACACAGGGAAAAGGTGTTAGAGCCTGGCGGTAAACCGAGGCTGGCAGTCTGGAGCACTTGTTCTAGAATGAACGAATCTAAATGAATGAATACAGGGCCAGTTGGCCTGTGATGCCGCGACAGAAACACGAAGCTTTCCCCTTGCAACCGGTACTGAGAGGATTCACATCGTGTCCCACTTTTCCAGCCCTAGATGATCTCTGTGTTTACTCTGATCACAAATACTGATAAAGCTGGCTCTGGGTCACTGCCTTCCACAGGAGTTCTACAGTTAAGAGGGGAACCAGCTTACAGGTATTGCCTTCAACTTCGAAACAAGAGGTGCTGTGCTAGGCTTTTGTAAAATTTTGTTGATTTTTGCTAAAGAGTAAACTGGCTTATTTAGCAATTCACTTGCTATTGCTTGCTTAAGCAAATACATTTTTAAAAATGAACGGGACGGCTATTCTGTAGAAAGTCTCTTGGAGGAATCATTTGTATCAGACGCAGCAATGTGGTATTACCTGTTTCCGCCCATGCTCCCCTGTGCCCATCCGTTCATGTCCGAGGGGGGCTGGTAGGCTGGGTTGGCTTGAGATTGCTGCATCATGGGACTCTGGGTGTGTGCCATCCGGGGGGACATTAGAGGACTCTGGGGTGTCGTAGCCCCAGTAAAACCAGGATCAGGTTGTTGACTTATTCCTTAAAAACAAAACAGGAAGTCCAAAGGAGATTATTGGCTATATTATAGAGAGAGTATTCCAAATTAAGTATACACAAAATTATTCTCAAATATTTGATTATATACAATTAATTATAGACATTTTAAAAAATTCAGGCTAAGATACAAGTGCAGGGAAAAAGTCTCCATACTTGAAATCTCTACAACAGTCACAGGGGTCCTAGGACACACATTAAATGTCATGGCTAGTGTCAGAGAAATGACATTCTTTCCTTCATCCCTCCAAACTAAGAGTTTGTATGAATATATCACTTTTATCAGAAATGGTCAAAGTTTTTCAAAAATGTAACTATCACTGTAACTGTATTGATTACATTTAGTTTAGGGTCATTAATTTCAGCTATATACTGAAAGTACACAAGAAACTTCATTAAACTGAATTATACCATCCAATGATGAGATCATCTACTTTAGAAACACGTAACTGCATTCACACTGCCTTGGAAAGGACTTGTAGTACCCGAGTGCTCTCAGGGTTAGCAGCCAGGGACCATTCAGTGTATGTTTCTTGCTTAGTTTCAGGGTAAAAGAATTCACAGGAAAAGGAAAGAACTCTCAGCAGACCTTCCTCAGCCATGAGAAAGGAAACACAGCAGAGGCTCTGGGAAAGGAAGGTGGTGAGAGGGCAACTCCGGGGTGGAGTAAGCACACGTGTTTGCCTAATATTTGTGCAGTGATGTGGGAGTGTCATATATCAATCTGTTGAATTCACTGGTTAAGCAATAAACCAACTGCTTGGCCCTGATAGGTTAAAACATAGGTGGGAGGAGTAAACAGAACAGAATACTGGGAGGAAGAGGAAGTGAGCTCAGACTTGACAGCTCTGCTCTCTGAAGCAGAGACGCCAGGTTCCTCTCTCCCAGGCAGCTCCAACCCAGGATGGACGTAGGCTAGAAGACCCGGTAAGCGCACCTAGCGGTGCTAGACAGATGATTAGAAATGGGCTAAATTAATATGTGAGAATTAGCCTAGAAGAGGTTAGATAGAAATGGGCCAAGCAGTGTTTAAAAGAATACAGTGTCTGTGTACTTATTTCAGGGCATAAGCTAGCCAGGCAGCTGGGGTGCTGGGGACGCAGCCCCGCCACTTCCATTACAACAGTCCTGGCTGTCCTGAAAGTCACTCTGCAGACCAGGCTGGCCTCGAACTCACAGAGATCTATCTGCTTCTGTCTCTTGAGTGTTGGGATTAAAGGTGTGCACCACCAGTGCCGGGCTACATTATCTTTGCTCTTTAAAGAGACAGCACATCTGTATTTAGGCAACACAAAGACTTATCTTACTGAGAGTTCACTCAGACAGGGAAAGGTAAAGAGAGCCATTTGGAACACTTAATGTCAATGTAAACACCTACATTTATTAATAAACATAAACATTCATATCTATGACATTATCCTTGGTATGTCATCTCTTAGACTGACATTAAAGAACAAGAGATATGAAGTAAAGAGGTCTCCCACTGCGGCTCTAATGTAACACTTCAAGAATTACCTATTCGGGAAAGATTTGGTAGAATCTTTTAAAGGCTTTCTTTTCTTTTTTCATAAGTATTGTCAATAAAAAAGTATTTTTCAAAAGCTGTAGAGTATCTGTAACACTTATTTTGATTTATGTATTCTGACATTTTATATCTAGCTATTGATTTCTTTGTGTCAGACTCCAATACATTCAAATATTAGTAGCAATATTTGTGTGTGTGTTTGTGTGTTATATTACTGACCTCAGCAGACACACTCATGTTCACTCACACATCCAGAGACCAGACACAAACACACACACTTAACTGGTCATTCTTCTTTTTTTTTTTTTTTAAACTGGTCATTCTTAAATTAATACCTGCACCTAGAGAAAAGGAAGGACCAGGGTAAAGAGATTGCATGGCACTGTGCTGGACTGCAGAGTGCTGGACTTGGGGACTTCTGCTAGACTCCAACTGTCCTCCTGAGAGCTGTGCGAAGAGCTGTGACCCAGGACTGGGGGGCTCTGGGGAGAAAGGACCGAGGAGAGGTGGTGGGGATAAGTTCAGTACCGTAGTTTGGAGGAAATGGAAACTGCTGAGCATTGGCCTGGGGAATCCGGGGATTGCTCATGGTTGCTGGTATACCACTAGGAGCCACCATGCTTGGGGTCATATTCAACCCTTGTCCTCTCATCATCAGGTTTCGCTGCTGCACCTGCTGTTGCTGATGCATTTGTCTCTGCCGAAGATGCTGGTTGAGGATTTCCCTCTGCCTCTGGGCCAGCATCTGGGCATTAATAGGAGCCTGAAATGAAGGAAAACCAAGAGTAGATAGGTTAGACATGATACCAATGGCATGCTCCATGCAAAATCATTTGGAAAATAAAATTACACGAAAGAAAGTACCCAGAGTGGACCAACTAGAGAGTGAGTATGTGAGTTTCCAAGTTCAATCTTTGTAATGATTCTGTACCCACACTGGTGTTGACTAACTCATTTTGTGAGAAGAGTCACTCGAAGGACTTCAAAAGAGCACAGGCCTTCTCAGAAGGCTCTTGGTGTTTATTTGTATGTGTTATGCAGCATGCAGTGCAGTGCTCATGGAGGCCAGAGAAGAGTGTCCAATTACCAGGGAGTGGAGTTAGAGGTAACTATGAGCTGCCATGTAGATACCGGGACTTGGATCCAGGTCCTTGAGGAGAACCATCTCTCCCAGCCCTATGTAGCTCAAATTGACCATCAACTCTTTATTCTCTGGCTTCAGCCTGCTGAGCACTGGGATTACAGCATGTGCCGCCATGCCCAGCAGAAGACTCTTTACATCACTTGAGGATGGCAGTTTAGTCTCTCTTAAGGAACATGCCAATCTAACAAGAAACCAAATCCTTGCCAAAAGTGACTTGGTGCACTTCAGAAAGGTGGAGGTAAGGGTGGCAGTGGTTTTCTTCACTGACTACCAAAACAGATTTGGTTGAATACCCAGGTATCCCCTCCCCAGCTACCTCCTGACTGAGAGTTTAATGTTAACGAGTAAAATACACACACGGAAATGTCTTCAAACAGAAACTCCCCCTAAAAACAGATTATGTACTGATGTGCTGAGAACAATGTTGTGATCAAAGGCGTGTAGGACCCCAAGCCTGTGTTTTTGGGAACATCAGTCAGTACTTGAATTACGACTGGTTGAGACTTTCCGTAACATAACTCTTGTGTCCTCTGGCAATAAGATGGCACTGGGCACTAAAGCAGGGACCATAGGCCTGGGGGTGCAGAACCAGGAGGAGGGAGGACAGAAGGAGCTGAGGGGACATGGTGGACACACACAGCTGCTGGGCTCCTCACCTGTGCTGGTACTCCAGGCCTCAGAGTCAAGTTCACATTTGAAACATTGCTGATTTGATTCATAAGTGGCTGGCGATTCTAAATACGAACAAGCAGAAATCAATACTTTTTGTGGGAGAGGGGTGATTTAAGTCTCTGTATAGCCCTGGCTGACCTAGAACTCAGAGAGATATGTGTGTCTCTGCCTCCCATGCTAAGATTAAGGGAGTGCACAACCACGTTCAGTTCAGGGTCTAGGATTCTAAGTCCTCCTGCCAAGTGCTAGGATTCGAGGGTTATGTAGTCAATTCCAGTTCAGTACATTTTACAAAACAGGAAATATCTATGTTGAATCACCCTTTCCAATTAACAGCGCCCCCCATTCTTTTTTTTTTGATTTTTCGAGACAGGGTTTCTCTGTGGCTTTGGAGCCTGTCCTGGAACTAGCTCTGTAGACCAGGCTGGCCTCGAACTCACAGAGATCCGCCTGCCTCTGCTTCCCGAGTGCTGGGATTAAAGGCGTGCGCCACCACCACCCGGCTCCCCTCCTCCCCCCAATTCTAATGCTTCACTGGTACACCAACACCCATTACTCTTCCTGAGCCCCAGCTCCAGAGGTCCCAGGAGAAACTAACCTGCTGTGCTTGGAGGCGATGCTGAAGTTGAAGTCTCAGTTGGTTTGGCTGGTTCTGCACGAGGCCCGTGGGCCTGAGCCCTGGTCGGGGCTGCATACGGAGTGTGGTGTAATTAGGCCGCTGTCCCATGGTATGAAAGTTTGGATCTTGCATGGGATTGTAGCTACCCTGGGCCATTTGTGCCTGAGACGCATACTGCTGTGGGAAAACAGGGGCCTTCTGCTCCAGCATCATGTTGGACTCTTGATTTGAGAACTGTTCTGGATCTACAGCTTGGCTCTGAAAAGAAGCCCCAAATAAGCACATAAATAAAGCTACTAAAAACATTGTACTAAATATGAGACAGTTTTCTCTCCCTCTTACCTTTGATGCTTTTAAAATACTGTACCAATAACATCAATGTAGTTTGGGCTTGGCTCTACTTTTCCTTTTCTTCAATGACTCTTTGAAATAGATCTAACTACCAAAGCGCATGGCAAGACCGCTTCCCCACAGCACTTCCTTCAAGGGGGTAGGAGAAGGGGTTGTGACTATGTAATGCTCTATCTTTCTCCAGTCAGAACCTGGCATGGGCTTCAATGAGCAGACATCTGCACGTGTTACTTCTTCTGACTAGATCATTCATTTTAATTCAATGACTGCCTTAGCCAGCATTAGCAGTGTTGGGGAACCAACCACCCCTGTCCTCGCTCTGTAAATAACAGAACAGATGTGGGGGCATGAAGCCGACTTCAGAAGTCTTTCTAGTGAGACATGGTAGGCTGCAGTTCACACTGTGATGTGGGACTTGAGACCCTCAATAGGTGATACACTGACTATGTTTTGGGAGTGAGAGCCGTTTGATATAGGGTCTCACATAGGTCAAGTTGGCCTCTAACTTGCTATGTAGCCCAGACTGGGTTCAACCATGAGCCTCTACCTCCCAAGTGCTGGGATTACAGGTCACGCCACCATGCCTGGCTTACGCTGCCTACTGTTTACTTAGCTGTCCTCTATAGTTGGCAGAATTTTTTACATGCCCACACTTTATCATCATTCACTTAACTACGTGCTAGACATATTCAATATTCTTGTCATTTTTTTTTAAATAGCTGCTTCCCCATCAAAGACCTACAGAAGGAAAGAAAGGTGTAAAGATATTTAGCATATTCTCCCAGTGCCTTGACTGGTATCTGGCAGACATGTCTGCAAGATGGTTATTATGCATCTGGTTAATTTTCTGAGAGATGTGCCTTCTCCCACCACCCCCATACACACACAGACTTTCAAAATAGCCCCGGAACTCACTATGTAGTCCAGTTTGGCCTCGAACTCACAGAGATCCACTGTCTCAATGGATCAAATGCACCACTACGCCCGGCTGAGGTGCATTTTACACAAAGAACTGCATACATTCCAGCTGCATCTTGTATTAGCTACATAGTTTTCAAAGCGCGCGTGCTCTCTCTCTTTCTGGCACACACACATGCCACAGAGGTCTTCTCGGGACATAGTTCTCTTTGTAGTTCACCTTGTTTCTGAGGCGAGATCTCTTCTCATTTCTGCTACTGAACTGTATATACTCTCCTGTTTTCTTTCACACATAGGAAATCTGGAGCTTTCTCAGGGTGAGTATCTTAAACCTGTGCAGCCCCGAGTGTCCATGTGAAGATATACCCAGCCAATCCTTCTCCTAGAAGCCACTGCCACAAATCTGAAGGTCTTTCAAAGGGCAAGACCCCTGCAGCAATAAAATCTCAAGCCTCCTTCAGTCAGTGTTCCTCCAGCCCTGCCTTAGTCATTCCAAGCCACCCTAGTGCTGCACAGCATCGTGGGGCAGATGTGCAACAGCTGTGGCACACCACTGCTCCCCTGTGGCACTTTAAAAAGTGTGCATGGGGGCTGGAGAGATGGCTCAGTGGTTAAGAGCACTGGCTGCTCTTCCAGAGGTCCTGAGTTCAATTCCCAGCAACCACATGATGGCTCACCACCATCTGTAATGAGATCTGGCGCCCTCTTCTGGCATGCAGGCATATATGGAGGCAGAATGTTGTATACATAATAAATAAATAAATCTTTAAAAAAAAAGTGTGCACGGAATTCCAGCAGGGAGACACTCATTACTGAGATATCTCAGAACTTTCTAGTTGCCCATTTTCAATAGAAAAATAAAATTAGGTTATTTCTATATTCATCTATTTAATTTTTGTATTTTTTTTTTGAGACAGTGTCTTTCTTTAATTTAGAACTCATAGATTATGCTGGACTGGCTGGGAGGTTTGTCCAGAATCTTCCTGCCTCCACGCCACATTGTAACCACGTGCTGGGATGACAAGTGTCTACCACTGGGCTCTGGGGATGTTTGTGAGACAAGCGCTTTATTGACTGTGCTCTCTCCCTGCATGTAATTTCCATGTTTAAACACTGTGTGCAACTCTGGCTACACACGTGTCCCATTTCCCGCATTCTATCTAAACATGCCTTCTGCAGTTCAGGTAACATGGCTGAGGAGATGTGGAAACAATACAGAGAACAGAGGGGAGGAACAATACGGTGAGGGCACGACACTGGCCCAGTGCCATCAATCCAAGGCTAATAGGCTACAGCTTAGATAATCTCTTAAAAAACAAACACCCTTGAAAACGGACCAAGGAGTTACAGGTCACTCGGAAACTCGGGGCTAATTACAGAGAAGCTAGGGACTAGCTGACACTGGGGCAAAGCCAGTCATGTCCACAGGAAGCAGCTAACCCATTTCCTTTCGGGCTGCACTCAGGGTGCATTGTGCATGTCCAGTCATTTCTTCCGACTGTGCTGTTTTCACTATGAACTGACAAGGCTGAGCCCATTCCTGTGCAGCTAGACGGTGGGAATTATGACAAGATTACCCCTGATGTTTCAGAGAAGGTCTGCAATACTCCATGTCACCCCCTCACAGTGCAGTGACATGTAGGAGACTGTACTTGTGACAGAAAGGAGGATGCGTGATGCTGAGTGCAAAGGAGAACAGCAACAAAGGCGGGAAGATTTTCTAGGTCCCTCTTCCTTCAGCAAAGCAGGGAGCTGTTTCACACAAAAGCAGCTGCAGGGGCTGCTTGAAACACGGTCTTTGGAGAGACAGTGGGTTATTTATCTCACTCTCTCAGGTATTCTCAAATCAAAGAAATACAATTACAGGTCTGTAACTTCTTCAAATAAACTAACCATGAAGACAAGACTCACTGAGTAACTGGCTCTTTTCTTTTCTTGGTTTTTCGAGACAGGGTTTCTGTGTGTAGTTTTGGAGCCTGTCCTGGAACTTGCTCTGTAGAGCTGGCCTTGAATGCACAGAGATTCTCTTAAATCTGCCTCCCAAATGCTGAGATTAAAGGTGTGCACCACCATGCTTATTGACCTTTCTGATATTCCTATTTGCTTAAAAATTCTTAAAATTGTTCCAGGTAACACCCACATAAGGGCCAAAGTGTTTAAACTGCAGCCACACCTAAGATGACCTATGCTACCTGTGTGTGAACCGGTCCTTTTGAAGTAGGGCTGCCTGCCCCAGCGCACAGGCACAAGTAGGTCTGAGGCCTGTGTTCATATTGTCTCCCCTTGTAGAGGCAAGATGCTAGAACACCACGAACAGTGACCTGAGGTTTCTTTGATATCTTTTCTTCATCTGCCCATGAAGAAGGGGGACAAGAAATTGGGCTTTAGCTTCTGCCTTTCTGCTTTCTTCTGCCTTTCGAGGTTTATGTTATTTCCAGGGTTTATGTGAGAGCAGTGGAGGAGCAGGAGCAGCAGGAAAGCGGGGGAGGCCTGCCTGTGGGGAGGTGAAAAGCACCCCAGAGTAGACTGCTGGAACAGACACCTCTTGTCTCTGGAGCACATGGCCCCCGCAGTGCTCTGGCCTACCTGGCTGACCAGTTCTGGGATCCCCAGAGCTCTATCAATCTCCTCAAGGCCATCGAAGTTCCGCAAGGCCAGATACAGCTGGTCCAGAAGAGCGCCCTCATCACTGGGAGACTCTGCTGCAGGATGTGGACACAGCAGGTCATCGGGGGAGCTGCCAAACGGCTGCCTGTAAAGAGACAAACTTCACCATGGCTGATGGAAATGAACTCTCACCCCAGCCAAACACTGAACAAAATGAAGACTTTTGGTAATATGCACCTGAAAATTTCACTTTATTTACGTGCTAATAAAACAGTTTTGTTTCTATGCCTTCCTACAGCTAGCAAACTAGGGGTTTAACTTAGCCAGGTACTCACCACTACTAGGAAATTTTGCGTTTCTGCAGAAGCAGAATTTGCAAGCATTTATTAATGCTCTCAAGATACGTAGCTGTTAGCCCTCGTGAGTTAGGTGCCAAGAGAAAGAAATCACAAACCTTCTAATTGTAATTGCTATAAAGCAATTCAAGATAGCATCTTGACACCAAACTACCATTTCTATAGTATATAAAAATAATTAAATTACTGAGTGAATTCGAGGAGCTTTGAGTCACTGTGAACTGAAGAGAGGAAATGAGAGTTATATTTTTTCAAATTCTATTGTGTACTATAGAATACTGTGGAGAAAACAGAAGTATATAGGTAAGCTAACTTACTTTTTATTGTGTACGGTACTGGGAAATTAAACCCAGGGCATCATGTGTACCAGGCAAGCTATTCTCAGTTCAAAAAAATTCATTTTTAAACAACTAAGAATAAATTTATCAAGGGATGAAGTTGTCTGGTCCTGTTCAGTCTGCTGTATTTTCTCAGGCGGTCTAATTTATGTTATTTTGACTTAGAACTGTAATATAGGGTCCTGCTGAGCACTGAAACCAACAATTAATTTCAAATAGTGAGAGTAGAATGTATCAATGTGCAATCTATATTCTCCATCAGATTCTACTTTTAAGAGAAAATCACCCAGTTGAGTGTCCCTTTGATGCCTCTTCTCACTTGCTGTCCCTGATACAGTTAGTCCCACTGCTTCTGAGCCATGGGAAGCTGGCTGGGAAGCCACTGTTAGTCAAGAGTGTATATATAAGGGTAGAGATACTATTGAGAGAGAGAGAGAGAGAGAGAGAATATATGTGTGTGTGTGTGTATGAACCAAAAGTGCATATGTAAGGGAGTACGTCGTGTCAGCAAGCGTGCATATATAACTGTGTATGCACTGTCAGCCAAGAGTGCATATATAAGGGTGTATATATCCCAGGTATTCCACCTCTTGCTCTCCTGTCACCGAGAGGCTGTGGAAGAACAGCCTGCACTGGGTGTTTCCAAATTTGACACCTACTTCTTTTTTCCTACAGTCCACATTCCCCCAATTAATCTTTAAAACACAAATGTGATCAGCTCTCTCCTTTTTGCAGAAGCTGAAAGAAAAAATAGTCCCAGAAATGTCAATGTGAGGAAGAAAACCACACAACTCCATGCTGTGGGTGGAGCATTAGGAGAGACCCCCCCCCCCACACACACACATATGAGTACCCAACGACTGAACAGACTGGGGCCAATGGAAAGTTCTGGTGGCCAGGAGTCAATGTGGCTCGTGAGCATGTCCCCTCAGGCCTGGGAAGCTGCTCAATGAGGCACTTTAAAGTACTGCCTCTGCCAACTGGACACAAGCTCCAGTCATCTGAGAAGAGGGAACCTCAACTGAGAAAACGCCTCTATAAAGTCAGGCTATAGTCAAGCCTGTAGGGCATTTTTTTTTTTTTAAATTAGAGATTGATGGAGGGTGGCCCAGCCTATTGTGGGTGATGTCATCCCTGGGCTGGTGGTCCTAGGTTCTATAAGAAAGCAAGAGGAGCAAACCACAGAGAGCAAGACAGTAAACAGCACCCATCCAAGGAATCCACATCAGCGCCTGCCTTCAGGATCCTGCCCTGTGTGAGTTCCTGTCCTGATTTCCTTTGATGATAAACAGCAATATAGAACTGTAAGCCAAACAAACTCCTTTCTCCCCAGCTTGCTTTTGGTCACAATGTGTCATCTAAGCAATGACAACCCTAACTAGGCCAATCTCTGTCCAGCTGTATTAACAGCTGTCTGTTTCTGCACTTCAGAAGCTGTACTGCAAAACATTCCTCCACCAATGAAGGTCAGAGCAATGTGAAATCTAACACGACAGACTATGCAGTCTGCATGTCCTAGCTCAGGGGCACAACAGAAGTTTTTATAGTTCCCTTAGAAACACAGGCAGCGTACACAGAGAAAACAGAAAACAGCTTTACAAATGCAAAAATCAAACCTGGTTTTTGAGACAAGACTTTGCGCTGGAAGTCTAGCAGGGCACATACTTAGCATGAGAAGCTGCAGGGCCAGTCCCCAAAACCACAAGTACCACTCTGGTTTTAATGTAGACCTAGGTGTTGGGTGATATCTTCTAGTTTGTTTGTTACTACCGCACACCATCTGTGAGGGGTAGTGGGTAATGACTGTTCTTGCCCCCCCCACCCCCCAAGTGCTGAGAGTGCAGAAATGTGCCACCACACTTGGGCCCTACAACTTCTGACTGTAAACACATAGCACATATATCTAATGAATGAAGAAAACAAATGAATGTATATGTTGGGGGTGAGCCAGAACATAAAAAGTTTACCTCTAATAAACAGATTTGCAAAATGTGCTATAGATGAGTAGCTTTAATGTTTATGCTTTTGAAATGCATGAATAAATAAATTCTGGATTCATAAAACATGTAATGGTCTGTGTAGAAGACTTAGTGGGTAAAAAAACTCCTGCCACAAACCTGAGGAACTGAGGATCATTCCCCAGGACCCACCTGGTGGAAGGAAAACTCATCTCCACACGCATGTGGTTTCACTCCCAATAAATAAATGTAGTAATGAAAATATTAAGAACACACTCCTAAATATTAACTGATCATCATGCTTGTAATTCCAGCACTTGGGGGATTAGATAGGAGGCTGTCGCCTAATTCAGGGTCATTCTGAAATACACAGTGACCTTGAGGCCAGCCTGTGGCACACAGTCAGACATTATGCCTTGAAAACAAAGATCTGAATATTAACGGAAATGCTCGCAAAGGGGGTTTAAAATTAATGAGCACTGATTTGTCTCCATTTCAAAAGAGACAAAGATACAAACTTTATTGTCTCTCATTTCTGAATTTTTATGAAAATATTTTTACTACCTTATAAGGCTGGTCATTCATTTTTTCTAAACTGGATTATCTAAAATAAGTGAGATAAATGGTTCATAAAGCTGAAATAGCTTTAGAAGAGGTGCAGCATTCTGCTTGCCCACTTTTAGGAGAGTCACAGCAGCAACAGCAGCGTGGGCAGTGCTGGGTGCGGCACTGGACTAAATGTGAGCCTAGAATTCTTTCTCTCTGGCTGTAGAACTCATGTATGTTTAACAATAAAAATCTGAATTTAATAATATTTAATAATAATCACCATAAAAGCTGATCTTTGATTTCATGCAAAAACTATGAGACACTACTGTTTAATTATCATTCATTTGTATTCTGTAAACATTTCCCTTGAAATAGTTGGGTTACCCCCCCAAATAATCCCATTCACTGAGGCCACCATGGTATAAGGGTCAAAGCTCAGAAGGGCCCTGAAAAGTCACCGCCTGTAGTGTCACTGCGGCTATGTGATGCTCTTTGCCTACAGCCTACAGTAACCAGGACAGCAAGGATTCTCAGGAACAATACACAATCAGAGATAGAGAGATAGAGAGACTGAGGTAGGCGACCTCAAAGCCACCCAATAAAACAGCGTGCACTGTCCAGGAGACCAGTGTGAGCCTCTCTAGGGAAGCACCCTCAGCTTAGAACGCAGGTATCCCACTGACCATGTGAGCTCCGAGGAAAGAGTGTGCAAACACTGGAAGGACCAAGGGAAGCAGGAAGTTCAGAAGGCTGGGGAGAAATGATGAGGGAATGACATATCCGTGTATGGATGTCACAGTGACTTCCATTTGTATAGTTTTCCTAATTATAATAAACTAAAATGTGGCAAATATGCAAAAATTAAAACAAAAGACAACAAAAATTCAGGGAAACAGGCAACCATGGGTGAAATTCAATATTTGGACTTAGACTGCCCATAAACCTGTATGTTAGTGTGCTGGAAGCACTGGATCAAGAAATTTAGAAAATAACTATGAAGGCACAAGGATGGAATCATAAAAAAACAAGCAAGCCACGAGTGTCTATAAAAAATGACTAGGCAGGGGCTGGAGAGATGGCTCAGCGGTTAAGGGCACTGGCTACTGTTCCAAAGGACCCAGGTTCAGTTCCCAGCACCAACATGGCAGCTCACACCTGTCTGTAACTCCAGTTCCAGGGGATCTGACATCTTCTCATAGACATACATGCAGGCAAAACACCAATGAATATAAAATAAAAAAATTACATTTAACAAAAGAAAATGACTAGGCAAACAACTGTTAAAAATGAAAAATATTTAATATAGCTAAAGATAATATACAAGATAATATAAAAGTAAATTATACTGAATAGTATATATGAAAATCAAATTATGAAAACTACATGAATTAAGAAATATTAGGGCTACATAGTGAGACTATCTAAAACACAGGAAAAATGAAGAGAAATATGCAAAATAGAGACTTCAAGATGGCTCAGCATGTAAAAAAAGTTTTGCTGCCAAGCTTTACAATCTCAGTTTGGTCCCCAGAAACCCACAGTGACTGACTTCCAAAAGTTGTTCTCACCTCTACATGTATTCACGTACACACATGCACTTGCATGCACACACAAACACATTTATTTAAAAAAAAAAAAGAGAGAGAAGAGAGAAGCAGGAGAGATGGCAGAATGGCAGGGGCACTTGCATCAGGTGACCCATGGACGCTCAAGGGCTTTGCAGGCACGTGGTACGTGTAAACTCATGGAGGTGCACACACAAATTTAAAAAAAAAACAATAATATATGGATGAAATAAAGAGGTGTGACATACATTGTCAGAATCCTACAAAGAATTGAGAAGACAGAGAAGCAAGGTACATAAACATAAGGCGGTTAAAGTCTTCTAGAACTGTTCAAGACAGTTTATTAAAGCCCAGCATGGGGGCATACATCTGTGATCCCCGCACTTGGGAGGCCCAGGCAGAGGACTGCAAGTTTTGTTTTTTGTTGTTGTTCTTTGAAGACAGGGCTTCTCTGTGTAGCCTTGGCTGTACTGGAATTTGCTCTGCAGTTCAGGCTGGCCTAGAACTCAGAGATCTGCCTGCCTCTGCCTCTGAGTGCTAGGAATAGAGTGAGTGAGTGAGTGAGTGAGTGAGTGAGTGAGTGAGTGAGTGAGTGAGTGTGTGTGTGTGTGTGTGTGAGAGAGAGAGAGAGAGAGAGAGAGAGAGTGTCAGAGAGAGACGTGGATGCCAGAGGTCAACGTCAGGTATCCTTCCTTATTTTCTGAGACAAGGTCTCACAGACTAAGCTAGACTAGCTGGCCCCTGGGCCCCATGGACCCTCCTATCTCTGCCTCCCCAGTGCAGAGATTACAAATGCGTGCTACAATTGGCTTTTTTAAAATGAGTTCTGGACTCTGGATTCAGGTCTTCATGCTCATGCAACAAGCACTTTAGCAACTGTGTTTGTTAGCTTACTAGCTCCTATTTTAATTATCTCACTTCTCCTTTCAAACCCTCCCACACATCTTCCTTGCCATTTCAAATTCATAGCTTCTTCTTTTATTGTTACATGTTATATTCCTAAATATAAGCTGCCTAGTCTGTATCATGTTACTTGTATGTATGCTTTCATACATACATATGTATTGGATACTAGCTGATGTGCTCTTCCCTGGAGAAGACTATTTTTTCCTGATCAGCATTCCTCAATTGCCTACAGTTCTGTGGTCTTGAGGCCTAGTGGTCTTTCTCCCACTCACTTTGGAATGTCCTTGTCCAGCTCATGCTTAGGCAGTTGTGCTGGCAAGACTTTATGGACACACCTTCTGATACTATCAGGAGACCACCCTCACAGCAAACTCCTGATCCTCTGGCTCTTAGAATCTTTCTGTCCTCTTTCACAATGTCCCCAGAGCCTTCTGAGTGGGAGTTGTTTTGTAGATGTATCCACTGGGCCTGGCTCCACAGCTGCACTGTGCTTGGTTGTGGTTTTCTGTAATAGTCTCTATCTCTGCAAAAAGAAGGGGTGAGGACCACACTTTCTAGCTAGATCCTGGGAGGGAGGGAGGTGCCCCTATCTTTTTGTTAATTGTGGTAAAATACACAATATAAAATGAGATCATTTCCTGTTACCCTACACATACCTGCAACCCCTGAGCCGGCAGGGTGCTGCTCTGCCATGCACACTGGGCTATTCTGCCCCTTTGAGTTTTTCTAAGACTCTGAAACTTTGCCAGCCTTGTTGGATGAGCTACCGAAACAAGGTTATTTCTCTCAAGGCCCCACTGCCCCACTGCCAATTACACTTTGCATAAACACATCATTTTCCCAAGTAAGTTGTCAGTTGTGTAAAGGCATGCCCAGTCATGTTGATGTTTGTATCTTCCTTTTCCTGCCTAGTGAATGACTTGGTCTGAAGAAATAACAACTTGGTAAGCACCGTCCATTCAGAGGGAATTCCTATGCAGGTCTGGAAACAACTAACAGAGCCCAAGAGCCATAAGCTAATGCTCCTCCCAATGCTCCTGGTCCTCAGACTCACCTGTTCTGGCTGGCAAAAGATGCCTGGTCTATAGGCAAGATGCTCTCAGGCCATGGGGCAGTTTGATTTGGAGGAGCTTGCTGTTGATTATACTGAGGTCCTCCCATGTTCATTTCTAACTCCGAAGGCCCTAAAAAAGAGGGAGGGGAAAGAAAAAAGAAAACCTAAAATCTTCTATCTTATGATTGAGAAAGCACACACTTTTATTGTATAATAGCAAATAAAATTGCTGGTTATGGAAAATGAGAAGGCAGAAGCAGTAACAGGTGAAAATCAGACCATACAGTTCTGGTGTGACATACAAATGAAACCAATAAATAAGGTTAATGCCACCTACCTTAGGGCATGCCCACATCAGCAGTAATAGCAGGGATCCCCATTCTCTTAAAGCTTTTGTTTGTATGGTACATACAGAAAACACTAACTCATTTTTAAAATATCACAAAATCAGTTAAGTATATATTAATGTAATTATGTTTTCATGCCATGGTTTAACATTTGTGCAATAGCTTGTACACAATTTCCAACTCACTTCCACACTGAATCCTACAGTGCAGGACTTCTGCCAGACTCCACTGGGTGCCTGCAGAAGACAGGAGTGAACAGAAGCACTGGCCTAGCCGTGTGCACCCGAGCTGTCACTCGTCACTTCAGGGCGCACACTCAGACACACTTCCTTCTGTGGCTCTAAAACAGCATGACCTCTACTACAACAGACAATTTTTTTGTTGGGCTGAATTGATGGCTTTGTTGAACTTATTCACAACTAGAGAAATTCAGCTGTATGCTAAGCCTTACGGAGACATATTGGAAGGTTTCAAAAATGAGATGCCCTTCAGCAAGGAATGCAAATAAATTAAATTTCTATATACACCAAGTACACACATTTAATCCTAGCTTTCAGGAGCCAAAGGCAGGTGGAACCCTATGAGTTCAAGACCAGTCTGGTCTACAGAGAGAGTTCCAGGACAGCCAGAGCTACACAGAGAAATTATGTCTTAGAAAACAAACAAAAATTTCTATATACAAGAGCCATTATTGTGACTTTCATAAACATCATAAAATTGTCTCTTTAATTTTTCATAGAAATCTGGGTTTATATTTAACATTTTCATACTTAGCATTTTCAAATGACACAAATTTAAGTTTGGGAATCACTTACTACTTTGAGTACACATGTAGAAATGTAATTATGAACGTCACTCTCAGAAATATTCAATCAAAATACACACAGCAATTCAATGCCTATGGAGGAAACCTAATGTCAGAGTTCTGATGAGAAGCCTGCTACTCGTCAGTACAATTCTGCACTTTCCTGTGAATATGTTAGTACTTCCTGTGCAATGTCTGCCAAACGTTTACAAACACAGGCTTTTCAGAATGGAGCTAATACACAATATCAGAGGAAGGTCCTGTGCCTGTGGTTAAAAATAATAATGCCAAGTAGGAGTTTTCTGACCACTGATCTTTTTTTCTCTTTGAAATGGGGTCTCCTTTAGCTCAAGCAGACCTCAAAGTAGACCTCTCTATGTTGCTGAGGATGGTGAACTTCGGATCCTCCTGCCACCACCAGCTAAGTGTTGGGATTACAGGTGTGCACATTAGTATTTTAATGTAACAGTTTTCCTGAGATAAGTTTCAAGTGTACCACCCAGTAGGTATCAGTATGTTCAGTTGTACAACCATCTACTGCATCAATACCGGCACATTTCCACCTGTACCAAAGGAAACCCTTGTCACGAGGAGTTACTTCCCACTCCCTTTCAGGCCTTTAGCCTTAGGTGACCAGGATATTCTAGACAAATACGCACAAATTCACTGTAATAATGTGAACTGTCTCCAACAGAATCCTAGAGATCCTAAAGTGCTGTGCGATGCTCTTTAAGAGGCCGTGTCATCGGTGAGGCCTGGGAAAGAGTCTGACTTCACGGCATGGCTAGAGGGCCTTGGAGGACCAAAATGACTGTGTATAGAGTTCGACATTACAGCTGCATCAACTGTCTCTACCTTTAAGCTATCATATGGACGCTTATGTATGCATGTGTACAGCATTCATGTGATATTCTAATGCATTTTGCCTCCAAATTAAAATTTTGCAATTCCTTTATGATTCTACAAGGTTCTAGCAAAATCCCATTCAGGACAGCTTCTCATCAGAGGATCACCTACAATACAAGCCACACGCCAGTCTGGAAGGACCCATGAGCTCACACTCCTTTTCGAGAATGCCTAAAGAGAGCAGAGAGTGCTGCACTGCCTTACCTATGTTCATGACCTGAGACTGAAGCATCTGTCTTTGGCCAGGCTGGCTGTTGGCTCGCATGGGGATGCTGGCTGTTGGGTTCCGAATCATGCCTCCTTGGATTGGCCGGTTCATGGCACCAGTAGTAGCAGCACAAGTGACTCTCACAGCCGTACTCTGTGGTGCCCATTCCCCAGAAGGCATGGCGGGCCGAGAAGTGTTACTGCCAATCATTCCTGCATGCAAGGCAGAGGAAACTGAGAGATGCAGACATTGAAAACAGCACATGAACAAATACCAGACCTACCTACCTAAGACTCAAACCATGACAGTAAACTGCTGTCGACCAACAGCAACTCCCTCCCTGGGACAGATGTGGGCCCTTGGCTAAGACGTAAGAAATGGCAATTACTACAGTTTTCATGACACAAATCTGCTATGGTTCAGAAGAGCAGTTAACACTCTTCCCATATGTACTGAGAGCAGGTGCTGCGGCAAGTGGATAACCCCAACTTCCTTCCTCAGGAAGTGAATCACATTAGCTGACACACACGTCAGAGCTTTACTTTCCAAAAAGGAGGTGAGGCGAGGAGGACAAGGGAAGAACTGACAATCAATTCCAAAATTATCAACCCTGACCAGAAAACATCCCGCAGAGCCTAGGGATGATTTAAACATCTTCACATTTCTTTCGGTTTATCAGAGCTCGCAAACTGGAAATGCAGGCATGTTTACTGTACGACCATTAAGCTAGGCTGTCACACCACAGGCATTGGGTAAAACTTAAGGAACCTAGTACTTAGAAACTGCCCTTGGTAAATTCTGAAGACCATTCTGACAAAGTCCCGGAGGCTGAGGGATTCCAGGCTCCTGGACCACTGCATTCCTGACTGTGCAGATGCAGAATGGTGAGGACAGGTGTGAGAGAGCCCTTTACACTGCACATTTGATCACATGGAACAATGAGCACTCAGCATCACCACGCAGGATTTAGGGTTTGTTCTATTAGTGTCTGTGCCCTGGATGTTGGCAACAGCCAAGAACTGGCTAAAATTTGCTGATGGGGTAGCCTCAGAAATGATATCTCTTTACTTTGAAATATTTGACACAGGGAATATAAAGATAGTGCATATATATATCTTCCTTTCATTTTCTTTATTTGGGTAAAGCAACTACAAATTTGGTATAATTAACATATGCATAGAACATGGGTCCTTCTTTACATGAAACAAGGATGTGCTGGGGTGGTGGAGAATGAAGGGTAATCAGAGTTAAAAACTGCGACAGGATTAACACACATAAAACATTTTATATTATTTTTAATCTGCAAAAAGATACTATGGGAGAAAACGTAGTTTGTTTTTCAAAATTATCTACTATGTAAATAGTATAACAAGATTATAGACAGCAGGAAGGTGAAATTATCTATAACTCAAAAAATATTAGGGCAATGAGAATGGATGTTATTTCTTTGGGCATTTGTTTTAAGAAGCAGAGGGAGCCCACCATGTGATCTTTACAGCCTGGGCACCAGTAGGTCCGAATGCCCAGTTTAGGTAAGCCCATCCATCTTCGCAGTCCTAGGGTCCTACATAAGACTCCTCCAACAACGCAGAACATCCTTTGTAGGGAGCTACCCTAGTGAGTCATCAGCCACTCTTCTCAACAATATTTATATAAATCAGTATTTAAGAGTGACAAAGTGAATATGGTTTTATGAAAACAGTTTTATGAATCTAGTTGTGCGGCAGTCAGTGTGCGGCACATAGTAAGCAGTCAATACTTGCTGACTGAATAAACTGATAGAGTACAACTCATGTTTCCCATGATTCTATCTCAGTGATAGCAAATAAAACATCCATCATCTCCCCTTAAATAGAACTCTGATCTTCAGTTAACTAAAATGGTAATGTACAGGGATTACAGACTTAGCTAAAAAAAGAAAGAACTAAAACACCCACAACTGTAAGTTCTTTTTATAATATCTCCTTATTTCTATGCCCAAGTCTCTAATACGTCATTGAGACAAAGGAAGAAAGCTATAAATTACGAGTAGGTCTTCATGGGGGAAGCCAGCATCCTTCTAGACGTTTAGCAAACACTGTTCCAAGGCCCCAGGCGCTTGAGTTCAGGCCTGAATTCTATGGCAACCGCAGCAGAAGTAGGGACCACTTAGGAAATGTGCCTGGAGAATGTGTGGACATTGGAAAACTACAGCAGGTCAAGGTCCAGCTAGATCACAGGCAAGTTCTCAAATCTCCAGGAAGCCTCCCTGAATCTGCTGGGCCGGGCCAGGTCCACCACTACTTAAAAGTCATTATTGATAGTTTTCATAGGGGCTGTGCTGTGGTCTCAAACCAATGTGCTCATTTAATCTTGTCCTGGCCTGAAGCTATGAAAATGCATATAAGTTAAGAAAACCAGAAGACAAAAGCAGAACACATAAAGATGTATGGCTCAAGTCACCCTCCAGCCTCAGCCCCCTGCATATTAAGACTACAACGAAAAGGCAAAAAGTTAGGCAAAAAGACCTGCATTTTTAACACATTTTTTTCCTGAGTGGAAACAGGACCTAGAATTGTGGAAGACTGGTGGATTTAAACTTCCATTCTGAAATATTCCAAATACATCAATACATTTTTGCGGATATCCAGCTATTTTACATATGCCCTTCCATGTTCAGACCAACAGCTGGGATGGAAGTGAAGGAAGTCTGGACAAGACTGATGTTCAGAAACCTCAGAGCAGCAGTTGAAGGATGACCTGGTCATCTTGCTGTAGTGGCTTCCCACAGGCCACATTCAGGGACTTTGTAGGGTTTCCGCACTTTAACAGACAGCTGCTAACACGTCCCGGGGAAGTTCTACTACTCTGATGTGCATGAACACACCGTTAAGTTACACAACCCACCAATAAGCACCAGTCCGTTGAGCCCTTACCTGTGCTATTGTTCCCTAAGTTTCCTTGGCTTCCTAGCATCCCTTGATTACCCATCATTCCTGGCTGAGGTATCACTGAGTAGGGGCTATTGTTTCTGATTGGTGGGAAAGGTCCAGCACCAGTTGGGCTTTGCAATGTGATGTCAAGTGGTAAATTCTGGTTTGGCAATAACCTGCCCAGTTGCCCTGGTCGTGGGTTATTAAAAGCTAAGGAGAAAACAAATGAAAATTGAAGGTTAATAAAGGACAATGAAAAAGAATATTAACAATAGTAGCGTTTAGGGAAACTGTCACCTGTAAAATGACAAAGGTGCGTACCAGGGACCAACTACCCACATGAAAGACAAGTCACACATACAAAACACATATGCAGCATACGTGATCATCAACAGGTCTCTGCTCTAACTCTAAATAGATAGATCTATTAGGTAATATCAAGTACTTCGTTTTCTTTTAACTTTATAAACAGACTACAATAGCACCATTAAGAGGCGGGGACTTTGTAATCTACGGTATTTAGAAATAAAACATCCAGAAAAACTAAGGCTGGGAATGGACATTACGTGCCATGCTCAGTCCTGCCTTCCTGGGGTCAGTTACCTGGCCATTCACTAAGTCAGTCCCATTGAGATCTCTAAAGAGAGGAGGAGCTGTGAGCCCTCACGTGCTCATTGCTAGCTCTTTGGGTTAATGAGAAGTATCTTGTATGTTTCCTTCCTTATTCTCTTAGTTCTTTAGCTTTGTGATTGCCCTGGTTAAACAAAAATTCATCTTTCCTTTCTCTTTTCCAGAACGGCCAAGAACCTTGCAAGAATGGATTTAGTTTCTAAAGACAGCCATTCTCTGTTTTCTTGAGAACAGTGCTAGGCACCAGCTCATTTATCTGAGGTGGGAATAGTCACTGTGTTTACCAGCGCTGAAGAGGTTGTCTTTCTGTAAACATGGGTGTGCTATAGAAAAACTGTTCTCTCACACAAAACTAAAAACTTCAGCCAGGATCAAGTTTGCTAAGTGATCAGAGCAAATACCATTTTTTACTTAGCTCAAACAAATTTAAAATAAGATTCCTAAATGGCAGAGCAAGGCATTTGATTGTGAGCAGCCTTTTCTGAACAATTAAATTTTAAAGATAATCTAATTTCTTTTTTGAGACCGGGTCTCATTAGGTAGCTCAGGTTGGCCCTGAACTCATCATCCGCCTATCTTAGCTGCATGCCTGGGATTGCTGTCATGCATGCAGTACCATGCCTGGCTTGAATCTTCCTTCCTATTGCAGCGGGCAGAGAAATCTCAGCAGGACCAGAATCCTTCTGAACACTGACAGACCAAGACAGTAGATGGTGCTGTTTTATCACAAAAAACCTCCAAGTAACTAAACTGAGGCAGACTTTAATAATCTGTTTCCGATGGGGATTAAATGGGAAATTTTTCAGCAAAGCCGGTAACAGCGCATACTCACTGCTCTGTGACATTCGCAGCGCTGCTTTCTGGGCTCCAACAGGTGCAACGGGACTGCTGTCCGCGGTGAGTTGCATGAGGTCATTGATGATGGCTTGCTTGTCAACTGACCCAGCAGGGGCTCCTGGCCTTGTGTCTGGGAAAAGCTGTGATAATTGACTATTTTGCAAATCATCCAAAATCTCTTCCAGGTTGTCCAGCTCGCTGCCAGGCTGCAGTTAACAAACAGAACTGTACATCCAGGCCCATGCTGCAAGAGGGGATCCCACCCCCACCATGGGCAGCCACAGACCTAACCATCAAAAGGGACCCCACCAAGTGAAAAAAGCAGGCATGAGCAAATGTCATGCCTAGCAATGAACCAACCATCTTTCATAACTGAATCCACCAAGTGCTGTAAATCCAATCTCTGAGCCCTGACTCCCTCACCTAGAAACCAGAATCCGAAAGCTGTTTCCCACCTCCTGACTTACCGACAGTTTATATATTCCCTGAATTTTATACAAACCACCCCATTAATTATGAGTAGGTATATCTCCAATTACCTAGAGTTGGACTGTGACTTACAGTTTGGATCTAGGTTTGGTGGTTACGTTTTCCGAAGATAACAATAAAGCTGGTGAAAATATGGTCCAATGAACAATGACTATTTCCCTTGGGGGATGGTGGTGTAAAATATGCTTAAAGGACTCATGAACTAAGTCTTGCTTTTCAATTTGAATTTCGATTTTTGTTTGCTTTTATTTTGTTTTGAAGGACAGTGGTTTTCTCATTAACCAGCTTAGGTTACAAGATAAACAGAAGCTGATGCTGACCAAACACAGCACTTATTAACTTGATCTACTTTATTTTAGCTAGATCTAACCTCCTATTTTTCCTTTTTCGCCTTCTTTCCTTCCAGACAAACTAAATTATAAACTGCCTTAAACAAAATAAATTTATTATCAAGGCTGGACTTGAACTTGCAGTGTTGTGTTCTGCCTCCTGAGGCATATGTTTCATGTCTAGCCTATAGAGACTTCTAGTGACAAGAACCATGGCGCGCGCTCGCTCTCTCTCTCTCTCCCCCCTCCCCCTCCCTCCCTCCCTCCCTCCCTCCCTCCCTCCCTCCCTCCCTCCCTCCCGGAGATCAGAGTGCTGAGGTTAAAGGTGTGCACCACCACTGCTCTCAGCATAAACTCATTTTGTTTCTAATACCTGATTATAATTTTGCTACTGTTATGAATTACAATGTAAGTCTGTGTTTTCCACTGCTCTGTGCAGTTCTGGCTGTCCTAGAATTCTCTATAGACCAGGCTGCCTGCTTCTGCTTCCTTAATGCTGGGATTAAAGGCATAGGCCAACATGCCTAGCCATGGTTCTTTTGTAAACTATTTCTGTGTAATATGCTAAGTATATATAAACGTAAATACATGTAGTTTAACAACACAGGCACATAATATTATATCCATATATTAAGATATATTTGAATAACTAAAATCAATTTATTAAAAAAAAAATGAGACAGGGTCTCATATAGCCCAGTTTGGTCTTCAACTCCCTCTGTATGAAAGTCTGGCTTTTAATTCTTTTTCTTTTTTTTTTTTTCTTTTTCTTTTTTTCTTTTTGGTTTTTCAAGACAGGGTTTCTCTGTGGCTTTGGAGCCTGTCCTGGAACTAGCTCTTTTAGACCAGGCTGGTCTTGAACTCACAGAGATCCGCCTGCCTCTGCCTCCCGAGTGCTGGGATTAAAGGCGTGCGCCAACACTGCCTTTTAATTCTTGATCTTCCCTCTTCTACATTCTAAGTGCTGGGATTATAGATATGTGGGAAATGCCTAGCTCAAATAACTTATAACTAAGAGTTGAGCTACCCACCCCTTATTTTTAAAAAGATATGTATTAAAGTTAAACCAGCTTTCAAGCTTTGATTTCTGAGTTCAAGTATCTATGTGAGTGTACATGCAGCTCAGTGGTAAAGCTTGTCCGAGAGGCTTGGGGTCAATTTCCAGCATAGGAAAGGAGGAAGAGGGAGACGTTAACAGCACAGCTCTAACTTGTGAAACAACACCTGTGAGAGCTCTGTAGGGTTTTTTCTCGTGGTTCTGTAGACCCACCCCTCTGGACACTATCTGAATTCATCCAGGTTAACATCTCAAGCTGCACGTCAACTTAGAGACACGGCTTTACTCCTTGTCAGTTTTGCAATAGGCATTCAACACTGATTTGTTTATCAGTTCTTATCCCCCCCCCCCCCCCTTACGCGAAGTTGACCTTGAATTTACAATCCTCCTGTCCCAGTGTTGGGATTACAGAAGCACACCACTGTGCCTGGCTGTAAGCTTATTTTAAATATTCTTAAAAGAAATAGATCACAGAGTATCCATACCCCTTGGGCAGATTGATTTTAGCACTTTCTTCATTATTCATGTAAGTTTTAGAAGTGCTGAAATGTGGTAACTTGATGCTTCTGAGAGAAAATCTACAGTTTTGTAGTTTCTATCCCACAGAAGGTCTTTCAGACCCTACCAACTTTGTTAGGAACATTTTCTTTGTAAGACAAAGAGATCAATGCCTTCCTTAAAAATGCTTAGAGACACTTCAAAGTTTCAGTTAGGTATCTATCTGAATGCTCAAATTAGCCTCATCAATTTGAGTACTTAGTTTCAACTATTTCTGGCAGAAAGTGAGTCAGAAAGATTTTATAAAAGTTCTACAAAATGAAAAATAGACTTGATTTCCTTAAGTTTTCAATTTTCTGTTTTTAAAATTTTTGTGTCAACTCAACTCATTCTCTGAAGGAAATAAAGGACCACATGAGTTAATGACACAGCATGCCCATTAATTACAAAGTACCTCTTGAAACTATTTTTAAATAAGAAATATAGTATTATACTATTTGCTCGGCAGAGAACTGTGAAGGAATTCTACTGTATCTGGAGGGTAACTCCCGGGCACTCCCAGTTTAAAATGTGGTTTGCCTTCCTAATGGAGTCAAGCAGAGCAGCAGGAGAACACGGGAGTGAAGAGTTACTTGGCTGAATGCCAGCCACACTCCACTGTGTAAATAACACACGACTTACGGCAGTAAACACACTGGAAATGTTTCTGTTTCCTGTTTGCTAGGAAATGGCGTAGAAACATCTTGTTTAACTGCTCCACCCTATTTTTAAATGCTATTTTAGTTATAATAATACGTGCCACCAAAGTACTTCCTGACCTTAAAAAGCTAGTAATACATTAAAGACACACAGTTATTTTTTTTTTCCAAGTCAAACTGAGACAGTCAATCCAGGCTTCCTATCTGTTTTTGCTTACTTAATTCTATATCTCTGAATTGAAAATCTAACAAACCTGGACAGCAGGTGGCAGGAGATCTCCTCCTTAGGGAACAAGGAAGGAGAGCTGAGGTGAGAGAATCACATTTTTTTTTCCTCTCTCATGCTAACTCTGATCTAAATTTAGGTGAAACATACTTCCTGTGGTAACTTTTCTCGTTGCTGTTTTTGACGCTGAAATGGCCCTTTGAAGATGTACTTTAGATGGTGTTTGGGAGAGAGTAGCAAGAAGGTGAGTGAGCAAGGGGCTAGATTCCATTAAGGAAAATATAATTCCTCTGTGTGTGTGTGTGTGTATGTATGTGCGTGCCCCCACACACCTGTGGACCCTGCCTTTATTAATCTTCAAACAACATATTTATATTGACTATTCTTTGTTTCTCAGATAATTTTACTTAGAAATAATTTCTCTTGAATAACCCCCCCCCCCAAAAAAAAAATCCCCAAACTTTTCTCGTCTGACTTTAGTGAAAATATACCCGGACAAGGTGATGACAAATAGTGATCCCTTGCTTTGTCCCTCTCAGTCCCTAGGGTCTGAGGCCTGAGACATAACAGTTTTGTCTCTGGAGGGAGGGAGAGGCTTCAGTGGATCTCCCGAGTCCAGAATCTGCCCTCTAGCATGTTCAGACACCACTCGGAACTGCCACTACCTCTGCCTTACCTAATCCAGTAAACTCAAAAAGATGCAAACACACCTGTCAATCACACAAGACACTGCAATTAACTTCCTGCTGTGCTTGGTCCTCTGCTCACAATTTCACAGCATTATCTAAAACAATATGAATTATTCTGCTGATGCACAGAACCTTGTGCTGGGCCCAATTTTCAGGACCAATCACTAATGCTAACGTGATTCTAGTCTCCTTCCCATGTCATCAGCAGCAGCCATCGACATCAACTGCTCAGAGCCTGCCTGGCTGGCAGGGACTGTTTTGAGAAGCACATGGCCTTTGTCATCCAGACTGTCACCCAAATCCAGCCTCTGTGGATTCAGGGGCTCACAGGCACAACGTGGCATGAGGGTCTGGGTCTCCTGAGGTTGGTGACACACTACTTTCTGACTTGCAGCCCAACTTTCAAGGGCAAACTATAGGCCATTTTAAGGAGAAAGGCCCTTGTGATTTCCTCACTGCTTAACCAATCATGACTCACAAAGAGTCTGCCACTCTTTGTGACAGGACGGCCACCGTCAGGGACTGGGGAAGGCTAGGCTGGGTCACTAACGTGCAGTCAGAGATCCCACCACCATAGCTGCAATGACCTATCACTTGCTTTTAACTAAGTGAAAACATCAGTGGTTTGCATCTCCCTGGGGGCTCTTCTCATCACTGAGTACTGTCTAGAACAGCTGAGGGGCTGGGGCCTAAGTGCTGGCAAGGAATCAAACACTCCGGATCTGTTGTACAAGGTGGTGGCAACAGTAACAATGCATATTGAAGAGTAGCTTGTTTTTAAATATTTGTATCACAAAATGACCAGCTTATGAGGTGATATATTATGTTAATTAGTCTGACTGTAGTATTCTACAGTGGATCATAGTGTATAATTATAAGAACTGCTTTTTGTCAAAAAAAAAAAAAAGATGATTCTGCACATTAGTTCGGGTACCCTGGACTATCTTCAAGATGTTACCTTTTGAAGATGTGAAGGAGAGAAAACAACCCATTATTCCATTTGGAATCGATACATAATGGCCGTGGTAACTTTCTCCTCCCATCCACTTTCTCTTATGTGTTTTTTTAACCTACGGTCAATGAGACTCTTCTACATCTCTCCAGAAGGGTCTTCACTGGGTATGAGAACCAGCTAAATTCTGATCATAGTCAGAGAGAGGTAGATAGATACTCAAGTCTGCTCTGACAAAGCCTGAGACTAAGACAGTGACTGTCACCAACTTAGGGGTCAGCTATCTGTTGCAGCCTGCATTTTATCCTGTCCACCCCCGTTAATGTATGCCCTATGGCCCAAGGATAAATCTACCGTGTATTGCTCATACCCTCCCCAGTTCTAAAGACGACTTCGTGCCCATCGTAACTGTTTCCCACTGGGTCTCTAAGCAAACCCACCAGAGCACAAGCACGCTTACGTCCTCCATGTCCACAGCGGCTCTGGCCTACTGTGCGAGGCTGAAGGTCCGGGAGGCAAGCTACACAGCCTTCTAAGCCCTTGGTACTCTTGTCACTGTCTGCTGGGGGAGTGTGGAGAAATCAGTTTCACGCAAATTAACTGGTACAAGATACGGACCGCAAACAAAAATACTATTTTTCCTGAGTCACAAATTGTCACCTTGGAGAAAAATCTATGATACAGATGAGCGCACTGGGAGAAGACATTAGAAACTCACCTGGTCACTGGGTTCAAAGCTCATCTCCTCTTTCACAGTTTTCATAGCTATTAGTTTTGTATTACTGGCAGGATCTGTCTTACTGTCCAGTCGCTCGAGTTTGGGGGTTATTTCCGGTAAACCAATATCTTTAGTATCATCTTTATCGAGCAAATAGCGAAGTAGTGCATTCTCTTTCTTCTTGGGGCTCACTGGCTCTGGCTTGACAGTCACTTCTGACCCAGGAGCTGTGCTGCTGGACTCCTGGCTCAGCTCTTTGCCTGTGGCTTCTGCTGTCAACTTGGCCAAGTCCACAGGGGAGCTACTGTCCTGTAAGAGTCTGTGCAAAATCTTATGCTTCTCCTTGAGCGAGGTGCCATGTGTTGACCCAGGCCCAGGCAAGCTACCCGCAGAGTCCTTGCTTGTGTCTGACAAAGAGCTGGGCAAGGGAGAAGGCTCCATCTGGTCAGACTTGGTGGTCAGCAGCTGGAGGAGTTTGGTCTGCCCTTTGTTGTCATGTAGCCGGCTGTGGCCCTCGGCCCTCTCCCCGCTGGCCGCCTGGGGCATGCTGGAATCATTGGGCTCCTTTTGTTCTCCAGGATGGCAGCTGGTCTCTGCTTGTCCAGTTGTACCTTCCGATGGCTCCCCATAAAGTCCAAAACAGTCTTTGGAGTCCAAGCTTCCCATCTTGCTGAGTGGGGGAGGATTCATATTAACTGGGGAGTTTTGCAAATTGCCCATTTTTAGGTCCGGTGAAGCCAACGATGACCCTAATGAGACCCCATGGCCCTCGCTGAGGGCTTGCAGTGCATTGAGGGAACTGTTGGTATAACTATGGCTATTTCCTGTGCTGCTGCAAACTCCCACAGGGGAATGCAAGCTTCCTGCAGGGGAAAACTGACTGGGTGGGATGCGAGGACTGCCAGCCACGCCGGGGCTCATGCGATGCCGTGGTGAGAGCATGGAGGTGGGTTGCCCTGGGTTCATGCCGGGGCTGCCTTGTGAGGGACTGTTCATTTTGAGTGCATAGTTACTACCCTGAGGAGTGGTTGCTTGCATGCCTGATACATGGTTCATGCCCCCAGAACCACCAAACCTGCCCAGAGGCATGCCCATTTGTTCCTTTGGGCCATTCATGGGAAAATTTATATTGCTACTGAGGGTCATGTCCTGACCTGGGTTCCCACTGCACATGGCCTGATGGGCAGGGCTGCTAGAGCTAATTGGATTCAATGGCTTCCCCATCGCTTGTCCAGTCATATCCGGATTCATTACACATACATTCTGCTCTCTGTATGAGGAAAGAAACATATATAAGATAAAAGGGAAAAAAACCCCAGCAAATTGTTATTAATTTTAAAAATGGTAGGGTCTCTTTTCTTTACAAAAGCAGACTACCTCTAAGGGATAGGCAAGACTTGGATGAAAACACCTGCAATTACAGACTAGACCGAACACGTACAGTTCTGGAACAAGAGAGATGTTTCTCAGGCAACTCATCAAGATGTCTGTGGTTTTGCTGAAGGGTGTGTGTGTGTGTTAAATTCAACTACTTCCATATTGAAATTTCAACAAGCAAACAGGATATTAGAAAAGATTCCAATTATGTATCTTCCTCATGAACAACTGAGCTTGTACAGCCTTAAAGAGCACAAATTTCAGCTCCCAACAGTGAGCACGTCTGTATGCCTTCAGAGTCTTAGAGCTGTCACGTTGTTCAAGGTGGCTAAAGGCCCTGAGTTGTTAGAGATGGCCAGTTTAGAGGCAGTAGAAATTATTTCCCTTGTATAACAGATACAAGGCCTCTCTGCAGACACCGTAGGCTAGAGGAAAACAGAATGCACTGTGGAGGGGTCCTGGGATGGCACAGTCTGTGATTTGAACTGTCCCCATTCCAGGAAAAGTCCAATCTGTCTCCCTAACTGATACTTACAAGCAGGTCTCCCGAGCCCCATGAGCTTCTGTTTCAGCCTTGGCAGCTGTTATGAGTTACCAAATATGTTCACTGATTGTCAAACATCAGCTTCAGTTGAGGTGTGTATGGGGGGGCGGTGAAATGTGCCATCTCTATAATCACTTTTACAGTCTCAATCTGAGGTCTGATTTACTAACAGTTAGAAACTACAGCTGCCTGAGTTTTTTATTCCTGTACTAGAAGCAAAATCATTGAGAAGTTCAATAAAATGGGACTCTTTAAGCAGAGCAACTGTATACACATCCTAGCAGCTCCTCATAAAGTTCCCCATAGCACATACATAAACATTTATAGAATCGGAAATTCAATCATTTTCCTAAATGAGTATCTAAAACAATATGCTCTATGACATTTATTTAAAATCAACATTCAATTTTCTTTCTTTTACTATAGAAGTGGTTATTACCATTCAATTTAAAGTCTATTGTGAGGAGGAAATTTAAACATGAGAACAAAAATCAAAAGTCATCTAAGAATATACATTTGAAAGTTTAAGCACACAGGATTAGAAATCTTAGCACTAGCTTCAATTTTCCTGATCTCATCTGTGGTGATTTCCCTTCTTGAGTGTAATAGGAGGGTGAAGGCAAGCCCTGTATTCTTTTGTTTGAGACAGGTCTTTTCTTTGCATTCCTGGCTGTTCTAGAGTGTGCTATATATATAGACCAGGCTGGCCTCCAATTCTCAAATACCTGCCTCTGCCTCCCAAGTATTGAGATTTAAGGCCCAACAAAATCCCTGTGTTCTTATCATTAAATGTAAAGGGCAGCCTGACTTTGCTGGTTTTTACCAAGAATTAACAACAATCTCATTTACAGTTTATAACGCCATAGTAAAAGAACAGGAGTCCGTGGAACCCGAGGGGCTAGCTATATGGTAGCATATTGCTCGTGCATTTCTCTCCACCAGGGAAGGGAAACCGAGGCTTAGTGGACAATTACCTGTGAAGCATGTGTAAGGATATTACAAGCTGAGGCTCGTTAGTTGTCTGAGAACGGATGAGTTTGCTTTTCGTCTGTGCAGCAACAAGAGTGCCATCGGACAAAGAAAAACGGTAGATTTGACTAAATGCCAAGCCTTGTCTCAGAACTATAGGCAAAAAAAGAAAACAGAAGGCATGTTTAGAAAAACACTAAAAGAGACAGAAAGAAAAACATGAATCAGGAAAAGTGGAGCAGGGGAGGACTATCGAGACATAATAGTTATAAATTTCATGAGGTTTCCTACGAGCATGCTAAAAAAGTACAGGTTATAAAGCATCATAGTATTAAAACATCCATTTTAAAAGCACATTTACTTTTCACTCAAAATACCAGCAATGAAGTTTTTTATATAACAGCTTTTATATATTTTTTATATAAAAGAATAACAGCTTGAAAACTGCCCTTTATTTAAGACTTGTTTTTATTTTTATTTTAAGTTTTAATTATGCATGTGAGTGTTTAGCCCAAATACATGTAAGTGGAACTAGAGGTACAGATTGTTGTGAGCCATCATGGAAGTGTTGGGAACTGAACTTCGGTCCTCCAGAAGAGCAGCCAGTGCTCTTAGCCTCTCTCTGTGCCATCTAAGCAGCCCCTAAATTGCTCTTGTGTGTGTGTGTGTGTGTGTGGTCTTTCTTTTTTTAGTTTTTCGAGAGAGGGTTTCTCTGTAGTTTCGGAGCCTGTTCTGAAACTAACTCTTGTAGTCCAGGCTGGCCTCGAACTCACAAAGATCTGCCTGCCTCTGTGCTGGGATTAAAGGCGTTTGCCACCACCGACTGGCTTAAATTGCTCTTTTTAAGATCATCATTATGGGAAAAAGTGAGTGTAAACTGTTTATCAGGTCAAAATAAGTCTTTCTGTAATTTCTTAACAATGTCAAAAAACACCACAACAGCACCACAACCACAAACCACGGTTTCTCCAAGCACAATCTGCCTTTTGATTCCCTTTACAGTGTAAATAACAGGATAAGATTTATGGATGTGTTATCTGAATACTCATCTTGAGCTGACCTATTCAATCCTTCACCTCATACTGAGCTTTTCCTCAATTTTGTTTCTCACAGGGCAACAGGAGTAAAGGTAAAAATCTTCATCTTTCAGAAGAAAAGGCAAACAAAACCGAAAGCCACTTGCAGGTCTTAGCAAGAGTAACCACTTTACCTTATAGATAAAGGTCTGATACTTCTATTTTAAAGACAAGAAATACAAAGCAAACCAACTGGTTTGATGTAGTTTCTCTTAAAATAATCTTGAGATTTATGGCCTGACTGAACTGTTTATTTTTATATTTTAGAACTGTACTTTAAAATGAACATGCCATATAAAAAGATGATTTCAATTGAGAAAAAAATAGTGATAAAATCAGTTTCTTCATAAATAATTTAAGAAAACTACCAGGTGTCTGATACATAATTGTTAGTATTTTGTGGGCTGAACAACTAGCCCCAAAGTGACCAAGCACATTCACCATGTTAGAGAACTGCAGGCAAAGGAGGTGGGGTTTTGACTTCAAAGATTCATTTTGAGTTTATCAAGGTGCCTTCTACAGCCTTAGTCAGACACAATATAGGATACAGGGACACGTCTGACTGCTATCAGCTGCTGACTGCACGGATTCTGAAGTGGCCATACTGGGAATCAGTTACTATTCTATGTGTGTGATGTTCTGCAAAATAAGCACGAGTCTGTCTGCAGGTAGCAGAAATACCACTGTGTAAAGGACTCACATTCTTAGTGGCTTATAATTTCAGATTTCTTCTGACCTTGGTTGTGATCTCTAAAGATCTTCCATTGCTAAAGAGCAATGTGCGAGCAGCTCAGTCATTCAGAACACTTCCAAACTCAAAGAAAACCTTCAAGCAGGTTTCTATTTGGTGCAGCTGCAAACCTCTGGTATTACCTGTTTCTTTAAAAAAATTATTATTTATATATTCATTTTTGTGTGGGTATGTATGAGTGTGTATATGCCTTGCGTGTGTACCTATGTGTGCCTAGAAAGCCCTAGCAATCATGTCTCCCCTTCACAGTGCAGGTGTTACAGGTGAGCAAGCATACAGCCATACCTGTTTTTTTCTATGAATTCTTGGGGATCTGAGCTAAGGTCCTCATGTCTTACTGGCAAGCACTCTTGAGATATTTAGTGGGCTCTAGCATTACCTGTTTTGTATATCTATGTTCAGCTTCCTTCCAGTGGGTCCTATCCCTCTAAACTTGGTATACTACCTGGTACATCGATATAAACTCCCTTGTAAGGAACCAGGAAGGTAGGGAATGAAAGACATTCAGGATCCAGGAATGTTGAACATGCTTGCTAAGGGTCGCTCTTTCTGTTTTTATTCCAGGCCATTATCTTAAGGTAAACGGTAGGTTAAATACTGATTTCTGTCAAATATAACATCTATATTTTCTCTTACTCTAATTGTAAGAACAACGTCGGAAGGTATACAAAGTTTGATTATTATTTATTATTTTTTTTAATTTATTTAACTTTATTTTATGTGGATTGGTGTGAAAGTATCAGATCCCCAGAAACTGGAGTTACAGACAGTTGTGAGCTGTCATGTGGGTGCTGGGAATTGAACCCGGGTCCTCTGCAAGAACAGCCAGTGCTCTTAACTGCTGAGCCATCTCTCCAGCCCCTTGATTATTCTTTTTACGAAATTAGGATGAATAAAGATACAGATGTGGGAGCGAATGGGAGCAAGAGTCCATTTACCATGTCTGTGCTTCTTCATTAAGTGGCCTCAAAAGCAGAAAGCTTCAATGTACAAACCTTACTAGTTAAAAAGCCAAGGTCACAGATGCACACTAAACCGATGACAAGCTACTGCTCCATTTCCCACAAATTCATTACAACTGCCTATGCTGAGGTCTGAGATGCCTGACTCTGCCATGGTCTCTCATGTGCCGCGGAGCCCATGCTGATCAACTGCGGGCTGCCCAGCCTCCTTCCCCACTCAGCTTTTGGTAAAGTTAAAAGAATTCTTTTCTTTGTTTTCAGTTGTTCTAAAGAAAATCAAAATGCGTTGGAGAAAACGCGACTTCAGGAGAACATGGCAGCATGACCACCAGGGTGGGTGTGTAGCTTGCAGATGTCCTCAGTTGACACTGTATGCATGCTCAGGTGCTAGTCACTTCCTCTGCCTGGGTCTCCAGGGAGTGAAGGGGGGCAGGGGGCTGAGATGTCCACCTCATCGGTTTGGTTTGGGGATGACGAAACAACAAAGAACAAGGCCAAGGTAAGGTTCTTTAAGGGTCGAATGCACTGGGAGACAGCTGAAGTGTCTGGTTTACTTCCCCTGTCCTTTTAGTCTGTGACCAGAGCAGGCCATGCTGCCTCTCTGGGCCTTCTGGAAACATCTGGAGTCTGCTGTTTGTACCTTGAGAGAGGTTGGGATTTGTTCACTCTTGCGAATTTCATCTGTTCCTCCTTCCAGACTGCTCTTAGGAACAGGATCTTGTTTCCTTAGTTTACATAGAACTTTGTTGTCTTGTCATACATCTAGAAGTATGAGGATCACAGAAAATAACCTTCCCCCTCTTTTTGACCATCTTTGTGACACTATCGGCTTTTGTTCATTGGGCCAGCACCAGAACAGGACACAGAAGCTCTGGGAGACGAGCCTCAGGAATCTTCTGGGTGGACCATCCTCACAAGCAACTAAAGAAAGTTCCTAATGGGCTGGAGAGATGGCTTAGAGGTTAAGAGCACTGACTGCTCTTCCCAAGTTCCTGAGTTCAATTCCCAGCAACCACATGGTGGCTCACAACCATCTATAATGAGATCTGGTACCCTCTTTGGGGCAGCAAACATACAAGACAGACAGAACACTGTATATATAATAAATAAATAAATCTTTAAAAAAGGTTCCTATCAAGTGAATTGCACAGGCCTACCTTCGTGATGATGTCTCTTCGCATAGGACAGAGACTCCCCTTCGTGCTGTGTGTGGAACTTCTGAATGCATCTTCTCACCAGATCCTCCCAGCCCGGTTTCATGGCAGCTCTCATGGTACTGGTGTCCAGAGAAGTGATCTTGCCTATGAGATAATGGCATTACATTTACTATGTCCATTTTCTAAAGAAACAAATAAAACTTAGGAATCCATCTACTTACTCAGAGTCATTGCCTGAATCTGTGGGGATTCATCTCAGACTCCATGGATACTAAAATGCACGGGCACTAAAGCTTCTTATGTAAAATGAAGCAGGATAAAGAGGTCACTCTTTATCTTCCTGTGTATTTTTATTTTATTAATTTTATTTGTTTATTCTTCCTATATAGTTCATTCTAATTTGGGACACATTATCCAGCTTAGGCTGGCCTTGCCCTGGATTGGTTTTAGGTATGTGCTATCACGCCTAGCTTCCCTTTTCCCCCAATACTTTTAAATCACTGCTAATTCATATTATATTCAGAACAATTCAAATTTTAAAAATTGAATCATTTTGATCTGAGGTTGGTTGGCTACACAGAGAAAGCTGCAGAAATAGAAAGCCTGCTGTTTGGAGCTGGCAGCACAGATTCACCTCCAGGAAGAAACCCAGTGAAGGCAGTCTGCCCCTCTGTGTGCCTCTGCCCCTCCCTCAGCACTCCCACCCCAGCAGTCATGGCTACCACAGCTTCTCAACACCATGGTCTCTCAGGGACAGTCCTTGTATCTAGGCAGCTGGGTGTTCTAAGATGACTGCTTTTGTCTTCTTTGACAAGGATTTACCTTGGAGGTCTTGGCGGGTGGTAAAGCTCTCTGATGAGGGAAGGGCTGGTCTTTCCTTCATGGGGACTCTTCGTGCCACACAAATCAAGCAGGACTGCAAATCTTAAACAGGACATAGTTGTTAATATGATAAAGATTTGTACTTGTAGTCATCAAATCAACTCTGATGTCTGTGACAGCACATCCTTAGAAATCAGTGGGTGTTGTCATGACCCTCTGCTTCTCCAGGGATTAATCCTCTGCCAGGCTATAGGCTCTAGTGGGTGGCAGCTGCTGGGTGAGGTGGAACAGAGGACAGATGCCGAAGCTACAGAGCACATGTGTTGGGAGTCCACCGACAAACTAAAAAGGCACCGACTAGAAACGGTGACATCCAGATGGGCTCCATTCTTGTTAAGTCACTGAGTGTAAAAACAAAATTCATAATAAAGTAAAGCAAAGCAAAAAAAAAAAAAAAACTAAACTAAAATAGGATACTGTTGATCAGGAGTTTGCTTCTTGGCTTCAGGTTCTGTGGGAGGCACCTGTGACGGCACAATGAGATGGGAACTGAATGCAGATCCAGAGCACACTCCACCAAAGCCCTACCAAGGGTACAGAATCACGGCCTATGGTCCAGCACCTTGGCACGGAGAGCTCCAGAGGCTGCTATTAATGTTTAACCTCACCCCCACTTCAGTTTTTGTGTTTAGATGTTTTGTCTGCATGTATGTCTGAGTATAACTTACATGCCTGGCACTGTGGAGTTCAGGAGGTTGACAGATCTGAAACTGGATTTGTATATGGTTGTGAGTTACCATGAGAGTGCTGAGAATTGAACATGGGTCCTCTGAAGCGTAGCCCGGGCTCTTAACTGTTGAAACATCTCAGCCACTGCTTTTTCATTGTTTTCTCTACGAGGGCTAACTTCTGGGGAACAGTGACATGTTTTATATACTTTATAACATGCAGAGTACATGTTCTAAGTTCTCTTCTAAGTTAAAGAAAGGCTGAGGGAAGGCTGCTACAGAAATAACAGGCACCTAACATCTTACACCATGGCCTTGCAATTGTTCACCTTTAAACTTGGGAGGTTTTCTTTCCTTTATTTGGGGGGGGGGAATTATTGAGTAATAGATTGTATCTTTAGATTAAAATGTAATCATCAAGGGAAGTGGGGTATGCGGCTCAGAGGCGAACACTCCCTATAATTTGCAAGGCCATGAGTTCAAGGCTCAGTATTGTAGTTACAATAAAAGGAAGATGGGGAAAAAAAAAGAAAAGAATAGCTGGGTAGTGACGGTGCACGCCTTTAATCCCAGCACTCAGGAGGCAGAGGCAGGCGGATCTCTGTGAGTTCTAGGACAGGCTTCAAAGCTACAGAGAAACCCTGTCTCGGGGTGGGAGGGGAGAGAGGGGAGAAGAGAGGGGAGGGGGAGGGGGAGGGGGAGGGAGGGAGGGAGGGAGGGAGGGAGAGAGAGAGAGAGAGAGAGAGAGAGAAGCCCTTGCTTATGCTACATTTCAGGAACAGACAGAACCCCACCCCCATTTCTTATCCCTTTGAGGTAAGAGTCTCGCTATGCTCCTCTGGCTGGCCTGGAATGCACCTGTATACCAAGTTGGCCTCAATCTTGCAGTGAACCTCTGGCCTTTATCTCTCGTGTGCTAGGGCTGTACCACCTTAAATGCACTGGATTTTATCTAAGTGCTAGGATTAGAGGTGTGCACCACCACACTCTGTCTCAAATCCAATTTTGTTAGTTAATTAATTTAAAGATAGAGTCTGCTACATCTTAGCCGGCATTAAACTTGCTGTGTGTGGCCAAGGATGACCTTACCTTTCTGATTCATCTGTGCCTATCTCCTGAGTGCTAGGATTACATGACAATGCCTGATGTTATGTGGTTTAGGGGCTTGAATCCAGGGGTTTGTGTGTGCTGGGCAAGCACTTTCTCAAGAGCTACATCTTCGGCGAGAATCCACATGTTCTCATCTCTAGTACATAACAGTAGTTGACACAAGGGTGCCTTATATGTCTTTGGAATATCATGGCCTCGTCTTATGAAGGAACAGAATGAAACTAACAGCCACACCCAAACACAGGCTAAGTCTGAAATACTATGTATCTTCTATGACAGTGCTTCATGATCCCTTTCTGATAAAATTCAAATTTATTAAGAAGTACTAAGCTAATAATCAGTGGCAACTATAGATTAGCAATAATCATGAGTGTTGTGTGTGTGTACACATACTCAGAACTGAATCTAGGGCTTCACAAACGTCAGGAAAGTGCTTGACCCATTTACACCTTCATCCCCATTCTGTACTAACTTCTGGCAATTTCATCTAATAAAGTCACAATAAATTGATAATAAAAGAGAAGTGAAAGAATTTGTCCACAGCCAGAGCTAATGGTTAAATTAGGGGTTGGTCTGTCTGATTACCCTCTAGAATATTTCCGTGCAGTGGGGTCAAAAGCTTGTTCACTTCTGTTACTCCCACAGAGTGCTTTCTGCACCATATTATACTAAAGATTCACTTATACTCTAGTGTGTGAATTAGCTGTGGGAGGGCAAGGGATGACATCAGCATCTCACTATAGGGAGCAGCCCAGTAAGCTTTCCTGAAAGCCCTCTACTTCCCACTCCTAAGTCTGTCTACTTTGCTCTTACACCACACTGAAGATCTGATGTCCACAGATAAGCTACATAGACTCCATCACTCCCTGGAAAGTCTATGGAAAATGCTGCTTGTGCCCACAAACATGCTTCTTGGTCTGTGGCGTAAGATTTGCATTAGGTGTTCAAAGCAATCCAGGATCCCCTACACAGCCACTGTCAGAGATGCAGAAGTGCCATGATCACCAAGCACACATGTCCCTGGTTGTGAAGTGTAGTTCAAATGTGGTTTTCATGTGACTTTTGGCTGCCATGCTGGACACGGAGATATCCCGCATTGATCACCACAAAACACTTTCAAATTGAGATATAACAAGGTAGAATGCTTGCTTAGCGTGTACAAGCTCACTCCCCAACATTGTAGAGGAAAAGATTAAACTATACAAATAGTAAACACGGGACAGAATCATGGAACTGCGTCACGCTTTCCTCTGTGTGAGCACCACCCTTTGATTACTAAGGCTATGCCAGACACATGCGCTCTCCCTGGATCCACCTTACCTTCTCCTTCCTCTTTGATGGACTTAGGCTGAGACACAGCAAAGCACTGCATAGCTTCATATTTCTGGTGCGCTTCCTGGTTCTCATGGCCGTCCTCTTCTGAATCAGGTAAAGGCTTCACCAGCATCCGACAGTTGAAGGTATGGCTGTTCCGCCTGGGAGGTTCACCAGACCAAGATCCCCCATTCACTGCAAGGCAAAAGGGACCAAAGATTACAAAGAAATAAAGGATTCAGGAAAGTAGTTGGGTGTAGTGGTGCACACCTTTAATCCCAGCACTTGGGAGGCAAAGGCAGGCAGATCTCTGTGGGTTCAAGGACAACCTGGTCTACAAGAGTGAATTCCAGGACAGCCAAAGATACACAGAGAAACCCTGTATCAAAAAGCCAAAAATTAAAAATAAAAGAAATAGAAGTTAAAATAAAGCCACATAAAGATGAACAATCCACAGGGAGTCTGGATACTGTGTGTTATGTTCTCTTTGAGATGTTTGAATGCTGAGGAAGGAGCAACAGCTGCTAACAAGATGTTTGTTTATAAATGCTGCTGAACTAATCCAAGATAGGTATTTTGAAAATACCTTGACTTCAAAATTGAAGTCAAAAGGTATGATACATCAGAGAAGAGGATTTGCTTTTGTTTCCACAGGAAATGAGAGGCCGTGGATTCATTCTGAGTTAAGAAAAATCAGGTTTGATCAAGGAAGACCACCTGAGAAATCTCCAGTAGCAACAGATGGCCCAGATGTCTGAGTTCAAAATCCAGAACAGATTCAAGACTGAGGCCTGAGATGATCAAGTATCACAGGATACTCCAGTCATGACTTGATCATAATTCTAAATTTTCTTTAGGTCCTCATAAGATTATCAGCGCCTACAACCAGCAGGAAGTAGCCTGGAAAACTAAACCCACATTCCCAAAGACTGAACTATGGATATTTTCCTTTGTTTAAAATGTTGGTTACAAGTTGTTATGGATAATGGTCAGGAGAAAAACTAAACAAAGGGTATTAGATCCAGAGTTCTTATTGTTTTTTTAAAAAAGAGGGGAAAATGGTGAGGGACAATGGTCTGTCTGTATTCTGTCAATTATATTTTGAATAAACACTGATTGGCTAGTAGCCAGGCAGAAGTCAAGGCAGGTCAATTAGAACAGGAGAATTCTGGAAAGAAGGAAGTCCTAGTCTGTGGTCATGACCCAGCTATAGAAGAAGCAAGATGTGACTGCCTCGCAGAATAAAGTACCAAGCCATGCGGCTAACATAGACAAGAATAATGGGCTAATAATATAAGTTGTAAGAGTTACTAAGAAGTCTGAGGTACTAGGGCAGTCAGTTTATAACTAATGTAGACCTCTGTGTGACTTAACGACTGTGGGAACCAGGCAGGACAGAAACCTCAGACAACACAGGGATGCTTAATTATTAAAGGATGTAGGAAAAGCACAGGGACATTGTAACTCCATGGTACTCGACACTTTTCTGATACTTTCATGAACCACACAACGCTTTGTAACTCAGAAACTTGGGGTCTTTTCAAAATGTCTTCTATACTCCGCAACATTCATCCTGACTGCTTTTCTTCAAACGCATGCCTTCACTACTTATGCCGTGACGTGCCCACTGACAATGCTGGCCCACACCCACCATGTGCCCTTCTGCACAGCATCTCCAAAGCATGTGGACATCAGGAAACTTGAGACATGGGGCTCTGCACAGCTGCTCAAGAGACTAACATGAATACACTCAGACTGCGGTATTCATGTTTAGAACATTCTACATGCACATCACACATATACATATCACACGGAACTCCATGAAAGCCAAATTTTAACATGCCATGGCTCACTTTTCAGATGGTGACAGCAAAATCCAAGTTGGTTGGCTGTGGTGATGTGGGTAAAGGCTTCAAGATGTTTTAAAATATAAAAAATACCTCTGCCAATAGCTACTAGAAGTACTTTCCTTTTGAATTGTTTTCACATCGTTCCTATATAAGATCAACATGGTCCTTCATTCAGGATCAGCGTTGGCACCCATGACTCCTATCTGGAATCTTTACAGTGGCCGTTATGCCCACGACACAACACAGGCCTATTTACTCAAGAAAATATGAGAGAGGGGAAGGGAGGCTGCGGGGAATCAGCTTCCATTTACCTATGGACTTGGGCAGCAGGTTCTTGACAAATTCAGTGTGGTCCCCGACATGCAGGATGCTGTAGACACTCTTGTTCATCAGTTCTTCCTGGTTATACCTTAGGTATTGTGTCACATTCTCCGACACGAACACCACGTTGCCTTCTAGGTTCACCACAAAGAAGAAGCCATCGAGGGCCTAAGGGAAAAGACCAGCGGCATCAGCACAGACACACCTACAGAAGAGCTAGGCAGCTGCTGTGAACGGATCCTTGCCCTTCCAGTTCTCAGAAACAATGAACACACTTTCTCCTGAGAAACAGAAATGCTTCCATTCTAGTCAGTGGAAGAGAGGTTAGAGCAGGGTCTCTTGTTAGAACAAAACATAAAGACCAAGTTTGTTAGTCTACCAGGATATAGCTGCTGGCAAATAAGCACATATAGGATGGTCTCTGTGTTCCAGACCAGGGCGGACAGACTCCACAAGTTACACCAGCATTTCCCCACACTTCTGCATGATATGCAGAGAGAAAGGGCCAGTGATCATTCTTTTTCTCTCAGTTTTAAAGTAAGTACCAGGGGAAATCCACTAATTTTTACAACTTTTTTAAAAAATAATGTTTGTTGAAACCATGATATAGGCATTTTTTAAGATTTATTTATTAATTATGTATACAGCATTTTCCCTACATATATGCTACAGACCAGAAGAGGGCACCAGATCTCATTACAGATGACTGTGAGCCACCATGTGGTTGCTGGGAATTGAACTCAGGAACTTGGGAAGAGCAGTCAGTGCTCTTAACCTCTGAGCCATCTCTCCAGCCCTAATTTTTACAACTTTTAAACATGCCAGGGTTTAAATGAAATCACAGATGGTCTCAGACCTTTAAAGCAACATCTGGGCCTTCATTGTTTGGTGTCTAGGGACTCGTGGGGGTGGCAGCATGGGCTGGGAGTGCCTCCAGAATAAGAAAAGGGTGTCTAAGTCATCTCAGTGTTGGTAGCATGCATCCTGTAAGGAGGCTCACCGTCTCACTGTGTGTTACTTCAGTCTAGACTGCACAAAGAGTTGAGTTTAAAATGTTGTAGGAAGTGAAGATAAATGACAGCTATAGGGTATGTTTACTCTGCTGCAGGCACACAGTGTCCTTTTGATATCCTCTTTCCCAATAGCCAAATCCAAGGTCCCTAACTCTGAAGCCTAATCCTTCTCCTCTGTACTGGCAGTCACTCCTTTCAGACTTCTGATCCTTGCTAATCAGACTTCTGTTTCACAGATCTCAGGGTATTCGGGACTGAAAAAAGGCTGCATACTGCTCAAAGCTGCCTTCCCAGTCAGTTTACACCACTTAGTTTCTTCGTGATACATACCTATCGCATTTGTAACATTAATGTACCATGCCCAGCCCCACACACAGTGGATGGCCTGAAACACTTGGTCCCCCTAGTCTGTTTTGTTAGTTGCTATGGAATAATCTATTCTGTTTTTAATCATATTGTCACCTCACAAAACTAGATGTTCTTTCATCTAAAACTGATCCTAAGGTATAAGTGAGTTGTTTAGAAAAGAAAGAAAAGGTAAACGGGGTGTGGTGGCACACATCTATAATCCCAGCACCCAAGCGGCTAAGGCAGAACTACCGTGAGTTCAAGGCAAGTCTGAGCTACATATCAAGAACCTGTCTTCAAACAGTTAACAACAATGAAGCAAACACCTAAACCAAACCAAACAGAAAAACACTGCTTGGTTTTAGATTTTTTTGTAAATATTCTGTCAGTTTTTGTCTATAACACGAACCACATACATGGTAAAGCAAGAGATAAATATGTAAATGGCATGAACACCGACTGCACCAATCGGTGTACACACACGTGCTGGCAGAGACATAGGAAAGAACATATGTCCATTTAGAGACCTCGTGTCCCTTGTCACTTCACTGCTTCTGCTGGACATTCAGCAGACATCCTCAGGCTTCTGAAAGATCAAGTCACTTCTTTTGGATTGGTACCCTCGTAAGAAGGCTGATTTGTAGCCTAATAAAACTGAAAGCTGAAGTGGCTCGTCTTACAAAACTGTTTGTGTTTTTAAAAGCTCACTATGATATGCTTTGATGAAAAAAGCGGACATTTGCTTCTGTTGCCTAGCAACCACTATGCTATGATGCAAGCATGAGTGTGCATCTATGCCTAGAACATACTTTTCCTGTTTAAATGATTACATGTAATCAGGGATAAAGGTTTCAATTTAAACCATACGCCACAAGATTCAGGTACTTCTGCTCTAATACATTTATTCATTACTAAGATTCTACACAGGTGCTTGCTCTATGCATTCAATTCTCAGAAGATAATTTTCAAACAGAAAAATCTTAGATTGATTTTATGAGATCTGGGCCACTGACATCCAGCAATCCAATTTCTACAATTAACGAACTTGTTCTCAAGGGCTGAGCCATAGCCTGTGGTTGCTCTAAGCATTTCTTTTTAGAAGCCTCAAAGGTCTTTCAAGAGTCTCCAGTGCTCTTTCCCGCTCCCCAGACATAACAAACAAACAGTTATATGGAAAAATTCCAAGCAAATTTATGCTTGAAATTCAGAAGTTCTTCCAAAGGAAGCTGTGCGCTTCTTTTGTGTAATTCTAAATTGTCACAACCCTCTTTACTCTTCTCAGAACCGAGTGGAAGTGCTCCTTGACTGCTGTGCTGAGTACGGAAGACCTGGTTAAATGCTGTGCCCCCCACCCCCGCACAAGGGCCAACCTGGGTCATTTAAAGCTTTTTTGCTAGCAGGTCCAGCCCCAAGGAATGAACTTTGTTATTTCTAAATGCAAAGACTGGGTTGGGCGAGCACTATTCCTCCATCTCCAGCCTCCAATTATAAAGCAGGTTCCTATAGAATTAAGTTTTCTAAAAACAAAAACCATTTTATGAGAAAAGGGGCAATAAGGTCAATAGAGTATTAGGCTAGCATTATTTTTAAAATCCTAGTTTTACTTCCATGTGGGCGCAGCAGCAGGCACAGAGCTTCCAAGACGACAATGCTGCCTGCAGCTCTGGCCACGTGGTCTTTCGAGCTCAGAATGTCATCAGCAGAGCAAATTACTCTGAGCACGGACATAATTTATGTCTTGGCATCTCTGCGTCTTTATTCAGTGACATTTTTTCTCTCATCTTACCCTAGCCCACATCTTGAATTTTAATTTTGAAATAGGGACAGCAAGGCACTTTGTATTTAGTACTAGCTAATAAAACTAAGGAAGATTTTATAAGCCTGAGGCAGTAGCTGCCTTAAGGCTGCCAAGACCAGCCACTCTGTTATGCTTTTACAAAGTTTTTTCATCCTATTTCAAATGAGCTAGTCAGAAGTAACAGTCCTAAACCTCTTTGGTTGTCACATTTTAAGTTGTCTATACAGTAGAGGCCCTTGGCACACACGGACCCCTAACCAGAGGACTGGATCTCATGGAACTTAACATGGCTTGTAAGCACAGCTTTGGAAAATGAGTGCTCCTGACAATGAAAGGCTGCTAGCTTGTATTCTCATCTAATTTAATTCTATGTTGACATGTGCAGGAGGCAAAAACTCAAACATAGACAGACACAGTTACATACATTAGTAAGCACAGGAGCATGGATTCTCCTTAAATTATATTCACCCGAAATTAAATGTAGCACATCAATACTGAAAACATTTAAAATACAAAACCAAATGAGGGTGTGGTACCTCAAGCATCATAGGCCCCAGTGCATCCTTGTCGATGACACCCTGCCCTGTGGACGACACGTCTGACTTCTGCACTTCATCTATGTTGGCCGCTGCTGCTTTCTCTGCAACAAATATAAGAGCAAATTAGATAGTGGTGCTATTTCAAGGGCAGACTAACTCCAAACTCTCCTGGGGGCCAGATGTGCCTATAAATGTGCCTCTCCCAACAGCCCTGGAGAGGAGGAACAGCCGGAAGGAGGAGCCAGGTGTCACCATTTACCTCCAGAGCATGTGCTTCAGATCCCTTTCAGGCTTTTGACAAAATGAGTTTAGAGGTTTCCTGCTGGCCCCGGGCAGACATTTTAAAATACACATTATGAAACTGTAGTATACTCTGGGACAATTAGTCCCTACTCAGGAGATTCTCCAAACTAGCATGGGGGGTGGGGGAGGCTGTTGCTCAGAATTCAGTAACATAATTATGGACATATCCTTCACATTGGAGGAAGAAACAACAGAAGCCTTGACCAAACTTGTTCAAATGACTTAATGAGTTAAAGCAGAGGGAGGAGGCATCCCCACCAAGTGCCCAGAGAAGGCCCATGGCTGAGTTTTGACTCAGTACAGAGGGGCTGGACACACCATGAGCACGAGTCTACTTTGTAAAAAAGTGCACGGGAGAAAAGATGTGCAGCTAACAATACACGTGTAAATGAGTTACCTCAAGGTTGGTAAAGTAAGTTTATAGCATAACATACATAGCCACAACCTGCTAGAAAACAACACAAAAGCAATGTGCCAATTACTTGTAAACTGAATAAATTACATCCTTGTTTACACTGCATGTTTTCATCATAATTAAATGAAAAAAATCCAAAGCAATGAACTGCAACTCTATTTAGCATTCACAATCAACTTACTTTTCCATGACCATAGTAACTTTTTTTGTAAAAGCAATTTTATACAACATTTTGAAAATCTGTTAAAGCCAAATTTATGGAACCTAAAAATGAGTAGGAATTATGTACGTCCTCCCAGGTGATGTGTATTTGCCAGCAGAGATAGACAGTGACGATGTAGCTCAAGATCTACTCCACTGTTAAATCAGAGCAAGCCATCCAAAGGCCTCAGTGTCAGTGTCTGCCACCTGTACATCATGGCTTGTATCAATGAGAAATGAAACAACATGTAAAACACATTTTAGAAACTACCAAGTTGACGCTGGACATTGGTGATGCGTGCCTTTAATCCCAGCACTCAGGAGGCGGAGGCAGACGGATGTCAGTGAGTTAGAGGACAGCCAAGGCTACACAGAGAAACTCTGTCTCCAAAGAGGGGGGAAAAAAGAAAAGAAAAAAAAGATTAAAAAGAAACTACCAGGTTGGTTAGGCCTAGGAGAGAACCAACTCCCACAATGTTGTCTATCTTTTGAGCTCCATCCTTCCTCATGAACACACAAAAAATAAATAAAAGTAAAATAAAAGATTTTAAACAAAACAAAACAAAAATCCAGGGCTGCTAACAAACGTAACTCCTACTAGCACACAGTATATTTTATTCTTCTACTGAGTTTCATGGGCAGCAATCTCTTCACAGATCTGACCAATGTCAGACATGCCTGCTTCTCTGAATAGATGTACCACCTTCCTGACTCACTGGGGCCACCTATAATCAGAGATGTGACTTGGTAGCCGCCCTAACTGGGCACTGTGGGTCTGCTCCCTTCCCTGCTAACTGTTTAGAAGCTGTCTATCCACAGTTTGTTTCAACCTAGCGGTCCTCAGAGCATGAAGCAATTCCTCTTTGCCCATCACAGGACAAAGGCCCATTTCTGTTACTTACTGTATCAGACTCTCTCTCCCTGCTAAGTAAACCCCAAATAACCACACACAGAGGTGGACTTTGGTTAAGCCAGTATCTCCTCATTTCTCTCCACAGCTGCAGGGTCAGGACCTGAGCCACCATACCCCCTTACCTACTTCTCAGGGAACACTCTGCTGAAGGGCTGACCTTCTCTGTAGTGCTGCCCAGGCTGTGCTGCTTGTGGTCCCCAGGAGGGGGCAGACTCCTAGACCCATCACCACCTTAGGGAGGCCCCTGTATGCTTCAGACAGTAAGCTCCCACGCTCCCTAAATTCTAAAGCTCATAACTCATGCACGAAGTATGAACTGTGTGTAAGGCCCTCAGTATGAGTCCTTCCTTAGTGGCCTCTTGAGTGTGGAAGAACAAGGTGCTGCTGACCCTTGCTGAGGATGAGCACCTGTGGCCCTTCCTCTTCTCCTTACTGTCTGTGGGCTGTATTCCCCTACCAGAGATGTCCTCCCAAGAGGGTCTAACAGACTGTAGGGGAACATGGGTTCAGCTTGGAAGGCCTTCCTTGCATGAGAGTCTGATATACTAGAGCATTGGTTCTTAATTTCCAAACCCTGTGATCCTTTAATACAGTCCCTCATGATGTGGTGACCCCAACCATAAACTTATTTTTGTTGCTACTTTGTGAATGTGATTTTGCTATTGTTATGGGTTGCAAAATAAGTATCTGTGTTATCTGATGGTCTTAGGCAACCCCTATGAAAAGATCAATTGACCCTAAAGGGGTTGTGACCCACAGGTTGAAAACCACCTTTCTAGAGGTTGTCTGCATGTTCTTGCCTCCTTCAATCCACAAAACAGAACACTGCCCCACAGGACGCTGTCCCACTGGAAGGCTTCCCCCATTGGAAAACAAATAAATCAGGGAGAGGACCACATCTATATTCTCAATGGCCAGCACTGTAAGCCAAGAATGTCACTAAGCATTGATGTCTAACTGACAAACAAGAGCTCCCTGGTACTAATTCCCAGAACAGTAAGAATAAGTGAACTAGAAGGTTGATGGGAATAGGAAATTGCTCTCCTTTTGCTTCCCTAACCTTTCAGGGTATAGGCAGAAGACTGGAAAGAGAGGAGATATGCAGGTTAAGGGACATGGTTTAGGGTTTCTAGAGAATTGGTTCTAAAGTGAATCATTTGTCCAGACACAGGAAATTTCAATGCATCTCAACTTCTCTCACAGTTCATTCCTTTTAAATAATGGACCTAGGTTTTGGCACGTGGTTAGTGGTACAATCTGAGGCTCTAGGTAAGAGAAGAAGGAGGGAGAGAGTTATAGAAGAATAGGTTGATTAAGGCAGTTATTGCTATTACTGTGGCTAGAATTAGGTTATTATTTTTTAGTAGTTCTGTGATGATAGCTCATTTTGGCAGGAATCCTGTGAGTGGTGGAAGCCCTACTGTTGATAATAAGATTAATGAGATTATAGGAAGAGCTATTGGTATTTTGTTTCATATGAGTAATATAGAGGTAATGGATGTAAATGAGTGAGCATGGAAGATTATGAAGATAGGGACTGTTATGATGGTGTAGATTAGGAGATCTAGGATTGTGAGGGATGGGTTATACGGTAGGATGGAGATTATTCAACCTATGTGGGCAATGGATGAATAGGCTATGATTTTTCGTGTTTGTGTTTGATTAAGTCCGTTTCAGGCCCCGATAAGTACTGAAACAATAGCTGATAGGATCAATATTTTAGGATTGATTAGTTCATAGAATTGAAATATAGGATAGATAAGGGGGCAATTTTTTGCCATGTGAGAAGAATTAGGCCTACTTTGAGTTTAATTCCTTGTGTGACTTCTGATAATCATGAATGGAAGGGGGCTAGACCTAATTTAATTGCTAGGGAGATGAAGGTTATTGTTATAATAATGTTGTGGAGGTGGAGAGGGACATTTGAGTAAAGTTAATGTTGGGGGCAGGGTGAGTTCATTAAATGGGATCTCTGTACCTATCACTGGCAGCTCTAGGTATCTGCTCTTCACTGTGAATCCTTCTCTCCAGGTCACAAAAATTACTGTCAAAGAAAATAACCCTCAAATTTATGTTACCATGAATGCCAGGTGCCTTCCTCGCTGTTGTGATGAAAATATCTGAGGAGAGGGGGCTGTGAAAGAAGACCCAGAGGTGTACAGTGAAATGGCAAGGGGGTGATGCTGAGGGGTGAGAACTTCCATTGCTCACCATCAGGTAAAGGAAGCCAGCCAGCAAGACGCCAGCCTTTCAGTCCTACACTGAAAATGAATGCGAACACATTCATTCTCTAAACAATGTGCTATGTGCTCTTCAGCTCCGAACTGAATTTATGCTTGGGCCACTTCTGAATTGTAAAATGAAAGTAATCAATACTATGAAGTGATACAAAGCATCCAGAAACATGGCTTCACTGATTGGAATCAAAATCAAACCTGTCCTGGATTTATAGTATTTGGGTACTTCTGTTCAGTGTTCAGTTTGGCCTTGAAATTAAATAAGAGGAACAGAAGGGGTAGGGAGGAAGCAGCAGAGAAAGGAGGGGGAGGGGGAGAGGAAGGGGAGGAAGCTGGGGGAGGGAGGAGGAGGAAGTCTCCTTTGAGACACACTGCAGTCAACTGGACGCCTGCTGTATCTCGGCAGTGCAGCGATGAGCATGCTGTTTGTATGTACCATGTAAAATAAGCTTCAACCCCCAGATATTTATACTTCTGTAAGTACAGCATTACTATACTAAAGCATACCGCTTAATAATTTTAATTTAGGCAGTTTTCTCAGCGGTCATGAACTATATTTAGTTTTCTATATTTTGCATCCATTAACTATAAAAATACATTGTTATAAAAATACCCTTTGGTAGAGGCACCAGTGGAAGGCTGGCTCCAGATTTCACATGATCACAACCTTATGAAATCTCATCCTAACACTGGAGAGGGGGAGGCTAACATTTAAATTGCAGAGTCCCTCTGTGCTTTGAGTTCCTCATGTCTCCCTGCTGTGCCTTAGCCGGCACAGTCATTCTCTTTAGATAGAATGCGGCCTGAGAGAATAACAACGAGAGCCATATTCTCTCCTGTTTCTTGTCTGCTCTCCAAAAGATCTTTGAAAATCATAAAACAGCCATTTAACAGCTCTGTATTACAAATGCCAAACCCTGGCTGGAGAGCCCTTCCACACCGCCCCTCCCAGTGCCTTTTGACTACCCTTGTCCTCCTGGGTGGCTGCTGGGAGACATCCTGCCTGCTCCCTTCTCCATTTGCCTGCACTCC